AATTTTTGCAACTATAATTCTCGTTGAAAAAATTCCAGTGAAAGGTTTTCCTTAATAAGACGTGCTTGAACTCATAAAATATCATAATGCTATTGAAATAATTATTATTAGCTAAGAATCGTGTAACGGGTAAAGGTACTCAATTTATACTATTAGATAAATCCCGGAATATGATTGCGTTAGGTTCTCGCGCTATCGTGTAAGACAAGTCAAAAAAAAACGAAGACAGAGTTTGTTTCGGTTTCTATAGATTTCGCTACTAAAAAAGTTTTTCTAACAGATTAATGTCGGTAATATTTTCCGATCTCTAAAGTATCTAGCTATAAACTTTATATAGAGAGATTCTCCGCATCATTCTTACATCATAAAATCTTTAATACTAGAACAGCCTTTCTCGCAGAACATTATTCATCTCATGAAAGGATATTCATGAATACATCTGTTGATTAAAGAGATTGTTAATAATTACCAATAAATAAAAAAAAGTACGAAACAAAATAAAAGAGTGTAAAACAAAGAAGCACACTCGTAAAAAAAGATATTAAGGGGATCCTAAATGGTTAATTTCATAATTCTGTAAAACAATCCGTATAGCCAATAAATAAATTTGTAGTTTATCTAACCTCGTATTTTGTCAATAAAAAAGGAAAAAAACAAAACTTCTCAAATTAAGCATCCGTCGGAGTTCGGCCAACTGTTTAGGACCCTCTTAATTTCCACAATAATTTGTGCATTAAAATTAAAATTCCGATTTGTTAAATAATATTTTTCAACCGATCTGTTTCGTCGCCAATTGTCAGTTGATGTGGCATTTATCTCTCATTAACATTAGCTCTCTTCGGATTGTTGAGTGACCTTACGAGAATAAAAGATGGATTTTACGCGGACGACCGAGCGTGTCCCACAAGGCATTAGTATTCCACCGGGCGTGCATGCCTGGTTGTACGGTGCTAATACTGGCGAGGATACGTGCACGCGTGAGCAGCGTGCGTAAAAGCTGTGCGTGCATCGCTAACGCGATGCGTGACTCTCGTCGCGTGTGATTCGGCCCTAAAGGTCGGCGTGGCGATACGAAACGCACGTCTCACGTTACCGCAAACACCTCACGAATTTTCACGAAACTGTAAAACCACATCCCTCTGACAATCAGAGGAAACAATGCTGGAGGAAGAATTAAAAATTGTTGCAACAAATGTCAAAAGTATTTATAGAATTCAAAAGGAATCACTTCATGATGACATCATTAAAAAGCTAAATTTTATTTGCTACAGGGAGGTCAGTCAGATATAAAAAAATATTAAATTCATGAATTTTTTTCTCAGGAAGTATTATTAGGATTATCAATATAAGGTTTTTACCAGTCAATATTATATATATATTTAGTAATATAAGGTAAAATTTTTATTGAAAAATATTAAAAATATAGTAGATATTACTGCTGATGTCAGATGCTGTAACGTTTTACAGTAACCAATATACAATCTATATGGTTCATCTGAAACAAAAAAAACTCGATTCTTAAAATATACAGATAAATCTAATCTTTGTCGTAGCAAATTTTTAAAATTCGCAATATGTGGAAAGAGACACTTATTTGAATATAAAAGCGAATTTTTTATTTAAAAAAACGATTATTTTTGGCTTAAAAAAACTAGGGCGTTTAAAAAAAGCCTACGACAAAAACCAGATTTATCAATATATTTTAAGAATCAATCGAGTTTTTTTTTTTTTTAGATGAATTATATAAAACTACATATTGGGTATCATAAATGCAACATCAGACATCAACAGTAATATCTGCTGCAATATTTTTTAATGTTTTTCAATATAAATTTTACCTCATTACTAAATGTACATATAATAGACTGGTAAAAATCTTATTTTGATAATTCTAATACTTTATAGGACTATTTTTTGGTGCTCTTTGGGTGTATATGTTCCTCTTAATAATATATCATGCAGAATGATTGCTTATAATATAATTAATACGCGAATTCTTCCTTCTTAGAAATTTATTTAAAAAATTTGATTTAATTTATTTCGTGATAAATGGCATATGAAATAAAATAGCGCGATATATAAAATGCTTATAGACATTTCGCTCCCTTCATTATCAATAGGTATCAGTTAGAATTAGAAATATTTATTCATTAGTCACGCGTAATAACGCGGTGCATCGCGATGTTTGCGTCAGAATGTGTCGTCGCGACCTTAAGAATCTAGTTTATTTCGCAATAAATTCCTCGCGAGCCGAGTTGAGCGAGTAAGCGAAGACGTACATATGTACATGCGGCGCGATGTGATTTGTGCCTCGTGCCGGTCCTAAAGGTCGAAGTGGAGATGAGATGCAACGGTGCACGCTTCTTGTGCAACGGTCCTTTCTCAATTTACGGATTTCTGCGCCACGAGACGCCCGCAGCACAATCCTGCCGTGCAAGCAGGTTGTACATAACTATTCTGTCAGAGGGCAAAGATCGCACGACAGAGATAGGACACGGGTGACTTCCTGAATTTAGAGTCGCGCTAATACCGGCCCTCGAGCTGCCAAATTTATCGCGTAATGTACAGTTTAAGATCGATAAGGAGATCGGTGACGTCAAGTGATATATTTACAGATATACATCGTTATCAATAGTCGAATGTATAATAAATACGAGTGGAAGCTTTTCAATCGATAGTACATTTCCGCATCGGCCGGAGAACGTTTTTCGCAAACGATATCTATACTACGTAAATGGAAATCCCGTGGCTTGGGAAATAATCGCTTGAAAAATTTAAGAGATTGCGAAGATTATGCGTATCGTATATAAACTGCGTGCTGCATTTTAAAAAGCAAATTAAAATTGAAAAGAATTTCAATATTTTATAGAAATAAAATGAAAAGAATATCTTTTTAGAATATCTTAATTTTGAATGTAAAATTCTTTATTCTCTCTTTTTGTAACTCCAATGATTTTCAAGTTTAGGAATGTATAATTTTACAGGATAGAAATTCCTTTTAATTCACTCATTTTCCACGGAAAATGAAGATACCCTTGCAATCAAGTTGATTACATGCGAACCTTCTAAAGATGGAGGAAGCAAATTACCGTCGAGTTGATATTTGCACTAATCGAGAGAGCTCAAGATCGAGTAGAATCCTAAACACGCACAGAAACTGTCGCGTTAATCTCATGTATGATAAATAACAATCTTTTCTATCATTCTAACAAATGGATACTTTTGTTATCAAAATAAAAATCTTAAATTAATGCATCGAAGACATTTTGACGTGTCTAATTTGTGCTACTACAGACAAAATTGACTGCGACATAAAATTTAGTAATTTGAATCGGTAAATTTAGTTAGCTGAGAGACGTAAGTATTACACCTCGAAATAATTTGATCGATACGTACAGACAGTTATTTTTGAGTTTCTCTCTTTCTCGGTATGAGTATAATTTGATAAATATTGGCATATGAATATATTTGGCATACGAAGGAATCAAATCATTGCTCTAATTTCAATGAACTCGCTGGCATATCATAGAGATGTGCAGGAAAGGTATCTTTGGCCAGATCAAATTGAAACTATGTAAAAAAATTATTATCAGAAATAGAACAGCACACTATCTGGTCACGTTGGAACCGTTTAGGGTTCCCTTAACTTGAAATAAACTCCAAAATAGGGATAAAATAAAAAAATAATAAATAGTTAATCAAATTAAAGCTGAGAATAAAAAAAATTACATATTAACTGTATATACAATAATGCAAAATAATATTTATAGTTTTAACAAAAATGAGAAAAAAAGAATTGCAAAAATATATCTCTATATATAAATATCATTTATATATATATATATATATATATATATATATATATATATATAGATGGAGGCGTTTAAAGTAATTTCGTTAATATGACGTTCGCTCACTTTAAGGAGGGCCTTTGGAACGAACGTCTTGCAATTACGCGTTGACGCAATCCCGAGGAGTGCACCATACTCCGGAGTTCGCTTTCTCTCATCTTCCGATCGATCGAATGGAATGCTGGATTTATCAAACGGGAAGGCAACAAAGGACCTTGGATCCTTTCTCGCAGCTCTCTGGCTTCCTCTCCGTTTTTCCTCCTTTCTTCCGATTTTTTTTCCCTTTGCTCACACGTCATTTACGGTGCACGACACCGCGCGATATGCACGTCTTTCTCCGGGCTGTATATATGTGTTACATAATATTGTATTAACAATGAAATTCCCGGTTTCTATAGTCGGGCAAACTGCGGCAAATCGCCGGAACACGTACAGATACGCGACGTGTTCGTTTCTGCGGTCGCGCGCGACTCGCAACATTCCAAAAAAAGGAAAAAAATTATGCTGCAAAACCACACTTCCGGCCGTGCGTTTTACATCTTGCGTGTTCATTTTCTAAAAAAAAATTAATAAAAAGAATAGCAGATATCTCGAGAGAGATAATGCCAATCAATTTCAGATAATCAATGTGTCAAACTTAAGATAATTTTTTTACAAGTGAAATGAATAAGTGAAGTGAACATTTATAAATATTTCAGTCTTAATGCGATGCATATTTCGAATTTTCGGAAATTTTTAATTTCCCCCTTAAATGCAAGCTTTTTCACAGAATTAAGTCGGATTTTTTAATGAATATTTTAAGTATCTTATTTTATATGTATAATATATCTTTTTTTACAGTCAATCTTGAAACATCCTTTTACACACAGAGAGAATTTTCTTTTAGAATTTACCCACAATTACCATGATTTATGAAAATAATGGTAATTGTGGAACAATATAGTATTGGAAGAATTCAATAAGAGTTGGTTTCTGATTAATATTTACCACAATAAAAAATATCTATTTCCCACAATAAGATATCCTTCTTTTTAGGTGAGATTCCACTCTTTTGGATTGAGATCCCTTTAAGAAATTTAAAGAGTTTATACACAAAAAAATATTTCAAATTTACTTCGCCCATAATAATCTCCTGTTTCCTTTGTTAAGGATGCACACGGTGGATCAGAAACATTGCGGAACATGGGCCTGATTGTCGTTTCATTGCGAGCGGGGCGCAGGCAGCACACGTAATGGACACACCGAACGTATACCGGATGGGGATCGCCCCATGTTCCAAGTATTACAAGAGCGATCTTCTGCGTGTCGAGACTGTCGATGCGGCAAGGAAACCATGCACGGGACGTCCCGCGCGAACCCCGTCAAGGTGTGGCGCCAAAGAATCCGCAAAACGACCTTAAACACGACCTCGCCTAGGATCGACAAAAGTCGCACGCATCCACAGATTTAGACAGGGCCGGAAACGTACATGTGTGTGCGCGGAATCTGTAAACAGTCTACATTCCGAGTGTCATCCCGATCCTACTTCTTCAGTCAATCGATGTAATTTATGCAACATTGTAATATATATTAATTATTTCATATAAATATAATTTTATATTTTTTTCATATTTTTCTATTTTAATCGTCTCGATTTTTTTATGTAAATAATATGCAAAACAGTCTATTACTTCATCAACAATAATTATATAAAATGTATTATAATTAACATCAGTCTGTAATTAACTCATATTATTCAAATTTTATTTTCCTATAAAAAACAAGTTTAATAATAATATTCCTGTGTATCTTTCATAGACAATATGTGTATGTACAGAAAAGTAATCATATGCGTTATTCGGAGATTAATCTGGGAGCTTTAAGAATAAAAATAATTGCGATTGAAAAAAATTCTTTCTAACGTAACGTAGTTTTTGATGAGTTAAACTGACTTGAAGTATGCGATTATAGCATGACTGATTAGCGAGCGCGAATAATCCGCGCTTCGCCGTGGGACACGTTTCGGTCGCGTAGGCGATCGGTTCATAGAGAGTGTGGGTAGACGAGTTTACATCGGTCCGCACAACAGAGCCGGTGTGTCCTATAAGTGTATCGTCGAACGTAACAGGAAGTAACACGGCACGAATATTAACGAGCGTGCGCGGGCGCGCACAACGAAAGCGTTTACGGCTCGTTCTCCGCGCTGCACACGCGCGCCTTCGCGTTTTGCAACACGTGCAACACGCTGCGCTCTTGATGTTTTCGCACCGCGTTAGCCTTTCATGAAACGGACGCAAACAATATACGTAATGCCTCGCCTCGCATTCCCGTACTTATAGCCTGAAGCTTTAAAGATGAGGATGAGCGTGTCATGGGAAAAATTCCGCGAAAGAACAAATTATTCGTTAAACTATTTTACGAAACAAAATATTTTTTTTCGCTTCAATAATCTTTTCCCCAAAAAAGTACTGTCGTAAAATATTAAACATATGAAAAGCATGACGATACCTTGAAGAAAAAAGTAGCTACAAAAAATATTTAAAGTCCACACAAATTCCTGTTGGACTCTATTCGAATATAATATAAATTTTAATATATATTATCTTTTTTAAAAGTATAATATATGTATATTTAATTCAATTTTTGTTCTTATCACAATTATTACTAGCCTATGTTATGATGTAACATATATGTTACATATATATTACATAATTTTGTAATTTGGAGTAAAAACATCCTATTTTTATGTGTATATTAATTATATTAAGAGTTAGCACTCTAATGCAACTTGTAATCTGCATTATTTCAAATTTGGATAAGATATTACTTGAAAGTAGGAAGCTTGAGATGCTGTGATTGAGTTTACAATTAGAAGACATTATGAATACACATAAAAGAAATTGTATTTTTTATGAAGTGTAAATCTTAATAAATCAATACAATATTACAATTTTTCAACAAACAACATATCTGAAATTATCTAAAGTAAACTCAATAGCATTCTTATCTGTATGGGACAAGATATAAAAAAAATACATAAATATATAAATACTTTCATAGTATATTCACTCACATAATTTGTGTAATCATAAAATGCTGTGAACTGTTATACTTGCTTAAGTAACTTATTCCTCAACTCCGCTTGAATTTATTTTGAAAAGGTGGCAGGTCGAAAATTCTAGCTGTGCCAAGAAGTACTAGCACTGAAAATGAAATTATTTATATGTATAAATATTGTAAGTGAAAAATTTATCAAACATCAATTTATCAAAATTTATCAATGTTATACCGATTAAATTTTCAATACAATATAAGCCTTAATAAATTCATAAAAACATACCAGAGGCAATCGAGTACATTGCTGCTTTTCCTACTTGATTTTGATGCTGTTTGGAATGATGACAGACATATAAACCAGCGGCGACGAGACCACCGCCGCTTAATAATCTGCATTCGAGACAATCGCGATTTCTGTTGCTAATGAGACTATTTACCGTATGTACGTTCGTCATGTCTCAAGGAATTTTAAACAAAATTTTTAGAAAATGTCTCCACAATTTGAAGTTTATTTAGCACACTTATTTCCGTACTGTCACAAGAGCGTGACACTTCGGAGAGGTTAGATTAGGTTAAGTGACAGATCATCAACCACGAAACACCTCTTCCTTCGATTATAGATATACTGATTGTAGATGTATTGTCAACAATATTTTATTTAATCATCGATACAGTTATGCATCTAGTAGCGAAAAAGTGCATTTAAATTTAATAAAATCGACAGATTAAAAAAAGCGAATCTTCGCTTCTGATTGGCTGTTCACTGTCATGTTTACATCTGTCATTGGCGGATTTGCGGTCTGACATTTCGGACGAATTTCAGAGTCTAGGGACTTTTAGGAGACAAATTCTCTATTAGACACGTCACTCTAGATCGTGTTTGATTTGTGCTCGATCCGAAAGTATGGCGGAAGTCATGTGTGCATCGAGCCGCTAAAGCTTCCGGTCCCCACATGCGTGCTTCTTCTGGCTCTTCTCGCTTCATCTTGCGCACCGCCCGATAATTGATAAATTGTGAAACTTGATTATATGAGTATAAAGAGGAAGATTTGCAATATTTATATACAGGAATAATGGCAGCGACAATAACGGGTCTTATGAGGCTCAACGTAAGACTGGCCGGAAATACTTTACTGAAAAGCAACTTCCTAAACTGTACGTAACATCGATTTAACCTCGTTGCATTACTATTTCGATTTTTTTTAGATTAATTTTTTTTTATTATTGATTCATAAGATTTTCATTCTGCAGCATTAACATTTAGATCTCACTTGTATTGTATTTTATATTACGTCAATGTGGCTAAAATCATTACTTTTAATTAATTCTCCATTATTTGTGTTACATCATAATATACTTGCTAGTAATAATTGAGACAGAAATAAATTACACACGCTCTCTAAAAGTTATATATTTTATGTATGCAATGAAAATTTAGCCAAATTAAATAAATTTAAATATTTTTCCATAGATATTTCTATTTTAAACGCATTCTCCTTGAAAGATATTAAAATATATATTTGAATATAAAGACAAAATTAGTATAATTAGAATTAATCAAAATAAATATTTAAATTTTTTTTCCACATTTTTATTAACTAAAATTTTTGTATGTTTCAATTAATGTTTTATGACATAATATTTCTCTGAAAGAAATATTATATTATCTTTTTTATTTTGCAGCTTGTAGATTCTTATATTCTGACAACAGTTTGGGTCTACAAGGTTATGAAAATGCACGATTAAACTTCCGGAATCAGTTTTTAAATGTAGAGAATACATTCCGTACTAAAATGCAAGAAATATGCTCCTCAGATTCAAGTATGATCTTCACAGAAGATCTGAAATCTATGTTGCATTTAGCCCAGAAAAAACCCGAAGATATTGAGCTGCTTGTCAAGATGATAGCAAAGTTTAACAGTCAAAACAAAGAACTGAGATTTGGTACTTTTGTCTTTGGTCCTGTAGTAATGCGTACCTTATACTATCTTGATGAACCAGATCTTGCATTCACTGCTTTCAAAGATCCCCAATTTAATAGTTTCTTTGATCAAATGATTAGTTACCAAATTCTCATGTGTCTACTATATAAACATGGAAAGTATGCAGAAATGAGAGAGACGTTTGATATAATTAAAACTAAGAAGTTAGATGGAGGATATCCAAGGAATTCTTTAATTTTAGTTATGGCTGCTTGTTATAAAGAGGTAATATTTTCTATAAAAGAAGTTAATAAAACTTAACTCAAAACTTGTTTTACTTAATCATACTTGATACTTTCAGAATACACCAGAAACATTGCAATATGCCCTAGATCTCTGGAGGGAGATAAACGACAAAGGATTTACATTTATGCGTAGAGCCAGCACATTTTTAACAGCTCTAGCCATAAAGCAAAATTCACCTCACATAGCTATAGAAATTGTAACTTCGATGAGAGAATCTCGATATATTGATGTAAGATGTTTAAAAGTCTTGGCATATACAGACTTGAAGAGATTCACTGAGATAGTGCCCATCTTCAGAACATCGCTAGAGTTTGATAGGCCAAATACTCAAAAAGAATCATATTTCAAAGATGTGGTATATATCTGTCTATAATATAACATGAGAGAGAGAGAGAAAGAGAGAGATTAAGCAACATAGCAGACATATACTATATTTTATTCCAATTATATCTACTTTCAGATTGAAAAATTAGAGAATACTATGGCAAAGGAGAATATTCCTGAGGACTTTGAGCTTTACAAGTTGATTGATTTGTTAAAAAAGAATGATCATATCTTACCTGATGTAAGTTTTACTAAGCTAATAGTTAAGGATTTATATATATATATATATATATATGCATGTTTAATTAAACTAATTAAATTAAATATTATTTCAAATTGAAATTGGGATGAAAGAGATTAAATATAACTGTTCGATATTTTTTCTGTAGACGTTGGAAGAGCATATTTGCCATGAAATTACTGTCGATCCAGTAAAACGTATTCAACGGCGGAACGCATTTCCATTTAATCCACAGAGACAGCGATCGTTCTCGCGTAATAGACCAGGTTTGCGAGATCTTTTGTAAGCGTGTTTCAAAATTGTAGAACGTGTTTCATATAACCCAATAATTATTAGTTTTGGGTAAATTTAAGCTTAAACTGATAATGAATGAATAAATAAATCTATATTGACCGACAATGGATTAAATCGCAATTGTTTTTTTATTTAGTAAATACAATTTACTTAATGTTAATTAGTTTTGCTTAATAAATGAGATTAAGTTAGATTTCAATATTGAGCTATATTGACTGATGATGGACGAAATTACAATTATTTTTATTAAGTAATTTCCGAATTGTTTTGTTTAATAAAAACAATTGTAAATTCATCCATTGTTGATCAATATAGATCAATATATAAATCTAGCTTAATCATTGATATACCTTCCTTAACTCTTACAAGTTTATAAATTTTCAATAATATAAAATTTTAATTTATATACACAATTTATTGCATAATTTACATATACAATGCATACAAAATATATTTTTCTAATAAATCATAAAAATAAGTTACAAGATTTTGTTAACTTAAAAACTATTAAGTTCTTGTGCGTTACGAAGCAACCATTGTGACATACATTCGGAAGTTGGAAATTGTGATCTTATCATGGATATTAATGATAACATCCATTGATTATTAATCTTGGAATCCTTGTCTGTACATCTATAAGCAGAAAAATAATATATGTAAATGTGTTCGAAAATAATTGTCAGAAACAGGACAAGAAAAAGCAAGATGCCAAATTTTTATAGCACTGACCTAGGTAGAAGAGCAGCAGTAAAATTAGCCCAGCTTTCAACATTGGTGGGATATGTAAATATATTTTTCTGAGCCTGTCTGAGGCCCTTTATGGTACCGAAATGGCTATACGCGGATGCACAAGCGACATATACAATATCAGTCATGGACGTATTTCTGCTTAAAACTAATGCTGTCTGAGCACATTTGCGGAAAATGTCTAAATTTGTGCTCAACAATGAGACTCTGACAAGACGAATCCAATATCTAATGTCATCTAAAAAAAATCAATATATTTGTTTTAAAAGATAAGCTTAAATATATATAAATTTGATATAAAATATAAAATTTATTAATATAAAATAATATAATATAATAAATAAAATAATATAAATTTGATAACGATATCATGCACTTACTAGGATGTCTGAAAATAGCTTTGGTAAAAATTCGGATAGCTTCCGTAAGGTTTCCTTGAATAACATGGTAATATGCGGACAACGTGATGACATGATGACCATACTCGTGATGATTTGTGTACGGTTTCAATTCCTCCAGTACTAAAGAGGTCAAATTGAAATCGTCGTGCAGAATTCCTAATGCGGCGGTTGCCAAGAAACCAGCTATGGTAGGCGGCTTTATTTGTATGCATTGGAACAGCAGAGTCTTGACAGCGTCCGCTCCTTGGAAAATGTAAGCAATCGCAGCCATTGCGCATAAAACATTCGCTTTGTCCGTTCCAGTGTCAGCTAGCCAATGTAGAGCTGCTTCATACGTATTGTACGATTCTTCATACTGCTTGGCTACATATAAAATATTTGTTTCTTATTCTCTTCAAAGTTATTTGTTTATATATATGAATATAAGACTATATATAAAACATTGTTACCTTTGAATAAAGATAATGCCAGATGGCATTGAGAGTTGAAACTACATTTTACTTGTCTGCATAATTCGATTGCTTCCTCATGTTTTCCGATTTGAATCAGGACACGTGACAAATTTAAGGATATCATGTCCTTTATTTCGCCCTGGCTTAGTTTTAAAGCTATAACAAACTGCTTAATCGCCGTGTTATACAATTTCAGCCGTTCCAACAACAAACCATGGGTATTTAGAGCGTAAACATCATTCGGTACAAGTTCTGAAAATGATGAAATTGCTTTATCCCAAGATACAAGAAGAGAGTATTGTGTCGAGCTGATCATTATCTTTAACGCTTACCTGTATACCAGGTGAGAACATCAGTCGCTGCTGGTATCGCGTGCATTTTTTCGATAACATAAACAAATAACGGATCAGTCTTCATTGCAGGATTCAGGAGGGTGGTTAGTACCCAATGAGCATAGCCTAGAGCCGCTTCGTTGTGATAACCCAGTTGCGTTGAATGCCGGAATAGATCCATCGCTTCCTTCCTGAACGATTTCTCCGCGATTATTCCTTGACCTATCCAACTATTCATGTAACTAGGATCCGCACGTTGCGCTCGAGAAAATGCTTCATTCGCTCTATAGATATCTCCTTTATAAAAAAAAAAAAAAAAAACAATATAGGTCGATTGATTGTAAAATGCATAATAATAACTGAACAAAAATTGAAGAAAGTGGCAGCTATATTTTTAAGCATACTTAAATGCAGGTACAATGTTCCTAGATTGCTCCAAGCTATCGCATTGTTTGATTCTCGATCGATCGCCATAATGAAACAATGCTGAGACAAAGCATAATTCTTTATATATGGCGACATGCAAATAACGCCTAAAATGTTCCAATGTAACCACGACTGCGGACAGAGTTTGACAGCGTGTTTTGCAGCGGCAAGACATTTGGATGCCACTTCGTCCTTGTCGACTGTGGAATCGTTGTCTAATTGCATCATATAACAGCATGCTAAATCGTGCCATAAAGATGCAGAATTTTGGTCGACAGTGATTGACAGTGCTCGACAAAAACATCTAATAAAAAAAATAATTTATAAATATTTATCAAGATTTTTAAGGTAAATATATCGTTTAAAAAATACCTAAAAAATAATTCCTTTTTTTACCTTATTGACAATGTGAGTATTTCATTCCCTCTAATTCTCATATATTCCTCGGTATTGTCGCATTTCATTAAAATAGGCTTGACTCTTAAGTAACAATACTTTTCTGGCATACTAACTGTGTTAAAACAGATATCACCAAGCAATTTCCAATTACAAGATAGATCACTACGTATCATGATAGCATCTGTTAGACTATCTGCCGCTTGCTGTAAATTTTCTCTCGCACGACATAGAAATTGTTTTGTGATATTTTCCTTCGCCAGTCCCAAACACGCTTGTGCTAAACCTTTTAATGCAAGAATAGATTGTTTATCATTTTCTAATATATTCTCGAAATCCTCTTTTGCTTCTTTATGCTGACCAATGAGCTAAAAACATAATTTTATGTATATCAATATCTAAGCATGTATGTGCAATTAGTAATTTTCCTAGATTTTATGTACCAATTTGATGTTCGCAAGTTGTATCATAGGATACAAAGCTCCTGGACTCAGCTCTAGCGCGCGTTGATAAGATTTCAACGCCGATGTGTGTGCACCACGCACTAAGTACGCGTCTGCTAGAGATTCCCAGCTATGACTGTACAAAGTGCAAATTTCCGATAAGATATGTTGCGGTGCTCTTTACAGGATAAAATAATTACAAGTTGTGTTGTTATACTTGTCGTTAGGGTCGGCTCTGATCACGTGCTGTAATGCCTTGATAGCTTGTCCCGCATCACCTTGATCTAAATATTGTAGGCCCAGTTGGAGCCAGGCCCATTTTGCTCCTGTACCTTGCTGCATAGTTACCCTTTGTAATAGTTGTATATTGGCATCCTAAATATTATATATAAAACTACCGGTTAGATAAAAATTTTAATTGTGATAATTGTTAAAATATATAAATTTGTGAAATTTTATATAAATATGTTTATTACAGTGTTTTTCAGAAGTCGATAAGTTGTGCTCAATCCAATGCCAGCTTCCTCAGAATTCGGGTTGATTTGCAACGCAGTGTGATAACATCTTCTCGAACGTTCGATATCATTCCCGTGCTCGCGATAATAATGTCCCAAATAAACCATACATTCCCAATTATTGCGATCCGCTTGGACGCCATTTAAGAATGCCATCAGACTGTGATTATAATCGCCCATATCCCAATATATCTTACCAAATGTCAACCAAGCTTCGGAATTACTTAGAGCTAACTCAAGAGTATTAATGGCTTCCTCATATTGCTTGTACTTCTTCAGGTATAATGCTTTAAATATAAGAGCTTGGATTTTAACTTCATCTTGGGATTCCAAATTGGTTAATACAGTAATAGCATCAGGCTTATCAAGTAAAGTATTTGTCCATACATATATCAATTGCAATTGCACAGAAGATTCAGTCTTTAATAGCTGAAAATAAATTTAAATCGGGAAATATTTAAAAAAAAAACCTTTATAATAACTTTCACATAACTTGTATGTGTATCAAAAAATACCTCTTCACACATTTGTTGTGTCTCCATCAACTTTTGTTTGTTATTACTTCTACTCATTGCTTCAAGTAATCTCAACTTAATTTTATAATACAATTTGTCCTTCAAGTGTGGTTTCATCAATTGTAATGCTTGTTTAGAAGCATTCTCGGTTTGTTCCCAGCAATATAGTTCATAATATACTTGGCTTAATATTAACCAGGCATAGAATAGTTGCGTATTTAATGAGATTACTTGATTTAAACACTCGCGAGAATTTATTAATTTATCTGTGCTCTTCAAATATACTGCTTTTGCAATTAATGCAGCCTCGGAATTTGCATTCAGCTTTAAAAGGGATTCATAAATCTCAGTTATGTTAATGTCAAGATTCTTTTCATTCAATATAGCCTCTTCATAATAGATACGGCAGATCCATTCTGTTATACAAAAGAAATAATTGTATTAAACTATTGCACTAGAGAATAATTAATACTAAAAGTATCAACAATTGAATGTAAATGACTTACCTAGAGGATAAGCATCCTGTGGAAATTGAATATGCATATCCTGAGCTGCTGTTAATAAAACTGTAAACTTATTTGAATCATATAACATCTTTAAATATTTTCTATAATACTCTTGTCTATTCACTATATCTGTATCTTTTATTACAGATGCTAATATATCTTCGTAAAATTCCTGATACTTGGTTAAACTATTATTAGGGTATTCTGTTAAAACCCATGCTAGAGTTTTATCGATCAGGCTTGTCTTCTCTTTGGTAGAAACTTCTCGTAACATACTCAATGTATCTAATACTTCGGATAGTATGTCATCATCCTTGGTTCTCAGAACAATTTCTGAGACTTTATTGACGAAATATGTGAACTTGGGAGAATCACTAAAAAGATATTTCAGTTTATTCATCTGTTAGATATTTTGTTTTTTATATAGTTCAAGTTTTTAAAAAAGTATAGCAAAATATTCCCTACCTATCCAATTGTAAAAGTTTGCAATAAGCTAGAGCTAGCTTTCCCCAATTGTCATTATCTTGTGGTGCTTTGTCATAATATGCCACTAGACCTTGCCAAGCTACTGGATTATTCGGTTGTATCTCAGCAGCTTTTTGAAGAACCAAGGGTACCTGTGGTTTGAATTCCTCTATTTCCTGCATGGCACGTGCTAACAAAACCAATGCTGTGTAATTGTTTTTATCTTTCTTCAAGATCTTTTTACACTTCTTCATAGTCTCCAGATATTCATTCTGCCTGAAAGACTCACGGGCCTCCTTCAGCAAGATCTTAACGTCATCCGACATTTTTTTTATTTCCTGAAAAAATAGATTTATAAATTTATAAGCAATTTTTGTGCTTTTCACATTTTCCAGTTTGTATCATTAATAAATGTCAACAGTATCTATAAGTAGGGATAGACATTTTATGCTTTGAGCATAATGGCATGTGTCCAAAAATGTTTAATATAATATTAAGTGTTTAATTTTATATAACATTAATTTAATATAATATTAAGTGTTTATAACCATTAAAATTAATACCTAAAAACAATTTTGACACATTATGCTATTATGTTCAAAGCATAAAGTGCCTATTCCTACTTACACGAAATCGATTGAATTAAAATTAAAAGCGAAGCTACGACACCCTATTTTCAAAATTCCCAAGATTTCACGCAAATATAATGATAAACACTGTAACGTAAACACAAAATAGTAAAGCTGTTTATTAATCAAGTTTATTAGGAGCATAAAATGTACAATAAAAAATATTGACATGTAGAGTCCCAATTAGGCCTTCGCTCGCATGTAATCTCTTTCGGCCTAGTCTCGCCTCTTTTCGCGATTGGTTCGTCGACGCGACCCTAGAACAACCGACCAACCAGAAGCCTCGCGTGTAAACGCGTCCTGAGGGGATACGCGCTGACATCCGGTCGCGGTGCGTCAGGATGGAAGTGTGCTGCTAACGGTGCCTTCAGATCGCACGGGTCTCGCCATTTTCCCTCGAGTCGTGTAAACTATTCTCCCGCTCTCACGTTACTCGTCCACGTCGCGTGGGCTTGGTTGGGCGTCGACCGCGAGTGCGCCGCGTCGACGAGGAACGCGTGTACGTAGAGTGGAATAGTAGCAGAAACGTCACGCCGGGCAATCGGCGTCGTCTTCGGCTGTAATGAATCAGCCGCGGAATTTTACGTCGCTGCTGAATCCGAGCTATCTGCAGAATGCTCAGCAGCAGCAAAACACGGCGGGGACGAACTCGGCGGCTGTGGCTGCAGCCGCAGCCGCGGCCGCCGTCTCCGCCGCGATAGCGAACGGCACACAGGCCAACGCTAACTCATCCAGCATCGCGAACCGCAAACGAGAGACGGAGGGTCAGTCTTTTTCCCTCTCTCTCTTTCTCTTACCTTATCTTTCGCGAGTACGCACTTCCTCGCGTGCTTTGCAAGCGTGCAATATTTATATGATCCTATTCTGTTACTATATGTTAATTATACTATTATATGTTGTTTTATTTATTTATTTTTATTTGTTTTTATGGTAAAGAAATTGTTATTCAAGTTTCCCTTTGCAAACGTGTGAAGTGTCTTAATACTGAATTGTTTTCCTATAACATATTTATATATTACATATATAATATATAACATAATATATAATAAATATATTTAATAATATGTAATAAATATAATACAAATAGAAAAATATAAATATAATAGTAAAAATTATGTATAGATTTTATGTAATCTAATGGCAAGATTTTTATAGGAGATTGTAAACAGGAGAAAGAAACAAAAGATGGAGAACGTAAGAAGAGGAAAAAGACTAGATGGGGTGGTAGCGAACATGACAAAACATTTATACCAGGGATGCCTACAGTACTACCGACAAATCTGACTCCTGAACAGGAGAAAGCTTATCTCTGTAAGTTTCTTTCCCAATTGATATTCTTATTTCCTTTAGTACGCTAGTGCATATAGATAGGGAACTGTTTCAAATATTTTGCTTCTGTACATAAGTTTCCGAAGCCTAATTTATAGAATATAGATGACTATGAATGATGTGTAAGTATAATGTGTATATATACATATATATCTATATATATTGGTAAAAATTCAAAATTCTCAGAGGTAAGCATCAGGAATTCTAAAACCATCTTGAATCATCAAATTTGGCAAGAGGGATTGCCAATTTTGCTGAATAATTATGATCCGACTATTAAATTTATATTTCTAACACCATAAAATTCTATGAAACTGTATATATTTAAGCATTATTTATTTAAATATAATTGATCACAAATATTTAAAGTTATATTTAGAATTTTTTTCTTTTTTTTTTTTTTAATAAAGTTTTGTAATTAATAAGTCACATAAAGCAATTTGTAAGCTTTTGACTTTTAAAAACAATGTTTAAGATGATATTTAAATACATGCAATATTATTACTTTTTTGAAACATGCTTATTTTATAGAATGTATTATGGTTATAGCAAATTGGCAATATCTAACTGTTGGGGTTTCCGCCCCCTCTAACCCGTTGGTTTACAGTTCAGCTGCAGATTGAGGAAATCAGCAGGAAACTACGCACTGGAGACCTTGGAATCCCACTTAATCCCGAGGAAAGGTTTGAAAGAAACTCTTACATACCAAAAATGAACATTACATATCTACAATACCTATCTACTGACCATACAACAGTTCATAATACAGGAGCCTTAAAGATATCTCTATGGCTCAGGTTCAATTAGTGTGGGAATACCGATGTCGTATCTGAAAGCATTGGGCTTGATTAGAGCCCCCACGCAACAGAAGATAAATTTTGATCGTATTGGTTTGCCCTAATCAATCTTTTTTAATAACTCATTTTTTATTAAACACTGCTACAATAATGCAAATTAAGTTTTATGTCCTTAAATTTTATTATAATTTAAATATCAGATGTAATGTAAAAGAATTAGCTATCAATATACATATAATGAATTGTGCAAATCAATAGAGAAGTAGCAGTGTTTAAGAAGAACAGTGGGTATTCTAGTTCATATATTCCTTAAATAAATACATTTTTGCAAACACATAGAGACTCTCAGGTGACCTATTGCAATCTGTTTCTATTTACTATGAGCAAAACTTCTGCAGCATTAGTATTCTAACATTTTATTTTTTCAATGTTTCATTCTGAATTTATAATCTCGTGTATAGGTCCCCTTTGAGTTAGATTCTGTTCCTTCGTTTAGGCTGCCGTGATTTGCACGGCATATTTTTGAAACATTACAATAATTTTAGTGCCAATAGGGAGATTATTAATTGATAAATGCCAATCTTTGTTGCTAATCTAATGAGCACAGATTTCAGGAAAATATCGGTTTATTGAAATTCTCATTTGTACCGTAATATTGTAACAAAAAATTTAACGTTACTTTCAGGTACAGCTCTTAAATAATAATTGCATATACTCTTTTTCTAATAAATTAATTTATTCCAATAGGTTTAACTTTACCAATTTTAGCTGGAACCATTATTTTTATGTCATTGTGTTTTTTATTAATACATAATAAGATATATCAATCACGTTATAACTAATCTAAAAGATTATTTCTTAACAATCAGCAGGATCTGTCTTAGCAGCTGACATCATACCGATATCTGCCGTGCACAAACGCGCAGTCTTCCAGTGTGTGGTTGCCTACTATAGAATACTAAATATATATAGCTATATTCGGCAGCGACATTTTTCTATTCTTTATTTTGATACCTTGGCACTGTTGGGAAATTCTAATTTAATTCTAAATTCTACATAATATGATTACATAAGCAAACTGATACAATCATGCAATAAATTCTATAGGATTTTTTGATATTAGGATATGTTAAATACATGCTATTGTTATTAATATAAAATTATTAAACATTTTTAAAATCTCTCTTATAAATTTTGATTTTTTTAAATTAAACGAAGGTTATTAATATATTCTTTTTAAATTAAATATAGAAATTTAATAATTTAGCGAAACATTTATCTACACACAATCACATTTATAGAGAAAATAAACCAAATCAGAGCAACAAGATAAAAAGATTATATAATAACTTATTCATCAAAATTTTACTGTTCTATCTGCATAATTTTCTGCTGTAAAAGAAATCAGCGGTTTTTTCCCACTGTATATTCATACGGTCATAGTAGGCTCAGGTTGCTTGTATGCTAGTACCTTCTGATAAAAATTTATATCTTGATATGGTATTATCCTTTTTCTTTTTCAGATCTCCATCTCCAGAACCTATTTACAGTAGTGATGGTAAACGGTTGAACACGAGAGAATATCGCACAAGACGTAAATTGGAAGAAGAACGTCATAATTTAATTCAGAAGATTCTTAAAATTAATCCAGAGTTTAAACCACCACCAGATTATAAGTGAGTCTTTTATAGATTTTGCGTTATATACTTTTATAAATGTTTTTGTATAATTAGACTGGCGATTACATCGTCACATGCTTCCCAAAAATTATCGAGCGAAAACACGTATACGAATACGGTCACACACACAAGCGAAAGTACTGAGACATAAATAAAAATAAATAGAAACATAACAGACGAGACAGATAAAGACGAGAAGCACAGAGACAAATATCAAGATGATTAAAAAACAAAGGAAATAAACGAATAGAAAATTCTCGAAGCCTATCGAAGGTCGATTTTGAGGCGAGAGACAGAAAGAGCAATGTTACATGCGAGAGATTTCGTTATCGACAGTCACCCCGTACGGACGTACATTATGAATCCGAGCGGTTTAATATCCATGTATCGACAGTTGAAGTTTGTGTTTAAGAATATACTTTCAGTTATATGCAATTAATGCCTCTCCCTATTTAATTCCCGACTCGCACCGAACCGACTAAGTAATCGCGCCGCGAGAAACTAAAAGACTATACTATACTTTTCAATATTTATATCTATTTTTATTTTGCAGGCCACCAATAATACGAGTTCATGATAAAGTGATGATTCCTCAGGAAGAGCATCCCGATATAAATTTTGTTGGATTACTTATTGGACCACGTGGAAATACGCTGAAATGTAAATAAATTTTGCAAATAATTATACTAATACAACTTACATTTTACACACACACACACAGAGTTAGAAGTCTTAACATCCATTTTTATGAAATTTTTTTAGCTATGGAAAAAGAAACAGGCGCAAAAATCATAATTCGTGGGAAAGGATCTGTAAAGGAAGGAAAAGTTGGTAGGAAAGATGGACAACCTTTACCAGGCGAGGATGAACCTTTGCATGCGTATATTACTGCAAACAATTTAGATGCTGTAAAAAAGGCTGTGGAAAGAGTACGTTTTGTTCTCATTTATAACATTTTTTTCTTATATAAAAGCTATATGAATATGAAAAAGTTATATCAAATGCAGAGATAATTATATTAAATATGATCTATATATATATATATATATATATATATATATATATATATATATATTTATATTGTTAAACATTGAAACATTCATAAGTGCATTGAGAATTATACATTAAACAGATTTGTGTTTTGTACATTAAACAGATCCACGAGATTATTCGACAAGGTGTCGAGGTGCCAGAGGGCCAAAATGATTTACGACGTAATCAATTACGCGAACTGGCTTTATTAAATGGAACTTTACGTGAGAATGATGGACCTCGTTGTACTAATTGTGGAGCTTCAGACCATAAATCTTGGCTGGTTTGTATAACATTTTATATATATTAAAAAACTTTTATATTTTTGGAACTAATTTTTAATGAAATTTTTTTAGTGTCCGGATAAGCCAAATGTAACGAATAACATAGTATGTTCGAGTTGCGGTGGTGCGGGGCACATTGCTCGAGATTGTAGATCGAAAAGACCAGGTCAGGGTGGTCCAGCTGCCGCCGGAATGGGAGGAATGAGTCAAGCCGGAGATAAAGCCAAGATAGATGAGGAATACATGTCGTTAATGGCAGAATTAGGAGAAGGCCCACCACCGGACAGATCAAAGACAGGTCAAGCCAGGCAGACTCCCAACCCCAATTATCCTGGACTCTTTGATAGGTATGATAATTTCTCTTACTTCTTTTTTTAGAATAAACTTTATATATACATATAACAAATATATAGAAGATCGAATACGATAATCATACGTCTTTTTTCAGACAACAACCACCTCGCGCGCTAATGGCTGCCCCGGCTCATCCGCCGCCGCAGATGATGCAAGGTGGCCCGATGATGCCGCCGCCAGGCATGGCGCCACCACCACCATGGAGTCAAGGTGGCGAAGGAATGAATAGTATGAACATGCAGTGGCAGCCGCCGGTGAGCATGCCGCCACCACCAGGTGTGATGCAACCGCCGCCGCCGCCACCCGGTTCTACTACGCAGCCCAACATTCCACCGCTGATGCCGTGGATGGCCGGCAACAATCAGCCGCCGCCGCCGGGCCAGATGCCGCCCACGCAGATTCCGCCACCCGGGATGGGAATACCGCCATGGCAGCAAGGTCAACAGGGACCGATGCGGCCGCCACCACCAGGTACGGCGCCGCCCCCGGGATTCCCTGGAGGCTGGCAGCCGCAACAGATGGGTGGCTGGCCGCCAGCTGCTCCAGTTCCACCCCCGCCTCAACAACAGACTCCAGCACCGCCTGGAATTGATTTGAACACGCTGCCGACGTTGCTGGCGCAGCCGCCGCCGCCACCTCCGCCCACCAGTTAGTCTTAATCGTGTAAGAATGAATGACTTCCGATTCTGTTGTACATGAGATAATAACGATCACGATTGGACGAAAGTTTAGAAATGGAAGTCTGAAAAAGGTACTGTGTCCAAATATCATAGTATCATAAAAAAGAGATGAATAACGCACGAAATTAGGAACAGATAATGAAATTTATATTGCAATTATATTCTTTGATTTGAATCATCAGTTTTGAATTTATTCTTTTAAATGATGTTCAAAATCCTGACGATTATTTAAAAAAAAGAGAAAGAAAGGAAAGTTCTGTGAATTATATACTTTGAACAAGTAGACAAACATATACCAAGAAAGCCGTATATGCAAATTATGCAACATTTAGTTTTAACTAGGTACCAATTTTAACTTGTTGCATGTAAGGAATTCTATAAATAAATATTAAACGCACGCGGAATTCTCTCATAAAAGCACAATTGTAGTCGATTTTACTTTTTTCTTTCTTTTTTTTACTTTATTCCATTTCCGAATATCGCTTCCGAAATCAAATCTATCAATGTTGAAGAATTGTAACATAGGTAAAAAGGACATTTGTTCATATATTTTATTTATATATAAGCAACACGCGCACGCGTGGTTTTATATATATACACACACCCATAAATATAATTCATAACTCTTATATATAAATTGGTATTTGGTGATATTTTAGTGATGATTGCAGAAATAAGCTTATTTGCAAATTGAGTATAAACATTTCTGACCTGAATCTTTATCTGTTTTATTCTGGTACTTTAATCAACTTACAAAATAATATATACAAAAAATGTCGAATCAGTCGCGTATTAGGCAAATTTATGGACAATATAGAACGGAGACAATTTTAGATTTTTAGTCCACTCGTGTATCATCCAAATTATTGCTTTCGTAGCAATGTATGGCGTAATCTTTGATCGTAAATATATCGTTTGGATTATACATATATATATATGTCTATTCAAATCATGATTATGTTACATTATTAAAAAAACGAAGTAATGGTTCTTGCTGCTGAAATAATGATTCAAATTAAGTAAATGGAAATTATTGTAATTCCTAATTTTGCAAATAACATTTTTTCTTTTAAAAATAAATACATAAATACATTTTACCTGTTATTATTATTGACAATTGGCATTCGAACGTCATTTCAAGTATAATAATTTCTTATGTGTTTGTGACTCTAAGTAATCAGACAAAATCACCAAATTTCAAGTTGCTTTATATATGTGCTAAGATTATAGTATTATGTTAAATGTATGATGAATTAAATTATAGAGAAATAAGCTAAGTTGTTTGATATGTATTCTGGAGTACATAATAAATACATATGAAACAAAAATATGTGTATATATTGTTATGTATTGCATGGAAAATTCTCTTTTGTTTCTCTTTATATATTTACATAATTATGTCAAGTTACAATTTATATTTGTTTTTAAAAATGTGTATATATATAATTTTACTTGTTTTATCTGTAATAGGGATACTATTCCATTTGACAAAAAATTTCATAATAATAAACATTATATTACAATATATCTACAAGTTGAACTGATACAGCATAAGTATATATATTTTATAAGTGTCTAATGATGTTTGATCTTCTTATTTTCTTTCTCTTCTGGATACGTTTTAAAATACCATTCCTCGTATTCGTCCTTCATTTGTTCGCGACGTGCAAAATATTTCGGATATCTAGCTTTCTCTAGAGGATGCCAATAATCTAAGACCCAATCTGGAATCTGGCCTTTTCGACCATATGCTCCTCCTGTGGCTGAATTTGCAAATGTCTTTGGTGCATAATGTTGCTTAGACCAGAGTTCTTTTTCTCCTTCTTCTAAAAGATATGTTGCATAACGCATGTCTTTTATATCCTTGTTTTTATCAAAACGTTCTCTCATTAATACAGCTTGAATCCTGTAAAAAAAACAGTATATATATAATTCATATATATTTATAGAATATGTAATTATAATAATTATATTATTAATTTATTTTAGATCAATTCAAATTAATGTAGTTCAAAAAAAGCACATTTTTTTTTTTATTATGAATAATGTACGAATATTGCAATTATATATTTTATATTACGTATAATATTGTATATTATATATATATATTATATATACAAAATAATACATAAAAATACATATAGAATAATATATGAACAAACATAACATTGACACACTGTCAGCTGATTTTACCTGCAATCGTGTGTTCTATGATACCAATCCTCCAGACAACGAAGTGCACGCTTGTACAAGCTGCACACTTTTCGTGAATGTGGCACAAGCTCGGAGGGAATATGCGCCATCGTTTTTATTTAATAAAATCGCACAATTCCTTCTCTTGAAAACACTTTCCCGTAATATTCGTTAGATTACATGAACGTGACGAACCATGAATCATCTAAAACAAGTAGATCTGCTGAAGATGTTCATTGGCAGACGATCAAAATAGCTGACCTCGCGAAGATCAACAGAGCTATCTGAAAAAAGTCCCTATATAAAAGGGAAACTTTGATTGGTCATAACGTCGCGAATTATTTTCTAGCCGTCATGACGTCACGTTCTATTACAAGCTAGAACAACTCTAACAACAACAATATTCGACGTGTGTTTACATATCAAAAACAAAGAAAAACAATAACTGTGAATAAAAACACGTGTGCTTTTTTCGCGAATAAAGAAAGTTAAAGGCGCGGGAAGATTGACGGAAGTGGACGGAAGTGCGACGGAAACGAGTGAATTTGCTTCGCATCGGCGACATCGGGCGACGTCGTCAACGGGTATTGACTGGTGGACGTGGTGGACTCTTTTGTCACCGAGCGATTTTCGCTGATTTGCGAGGTAAGTGTATACATTCGCCGATCTCACAGCTGATCCATACCGAGCGACAGCACGTTGTTACGTCGTGTGCGCATTAATACAGGCCATATAATGACGCACGCACAATCGGAATGAAACGCGATAATAAACAATCCGGCGAATCGAAATATCTTAACCTTAAGTCGAGCCCAGGAGCGGGAATATGAAAGTGAAATCGCGAAGGAGATATACACCCGATATTTTGACATTTCGATATGTCACTTAGGAATTGTGTAGCGAAAACTGCAATTTTTTTTTTACAGGTTGTTTAGCCCCAGGAAGCGATGCCGCCGACAATGCCACCTGATTCCCATCAAATCTCATTGAAGATCATAGAGGCAATTAAGCAGCACCCAGTGCTTTATTGCACCGAGGTGAAGGGCTTGTCAGTTAAACTGCAAGAATTCAAGCAGAAAGTTTGGAAGCGAATCTCTGATGAACTTGGATTAGATCGTATGGATTTTTTTGTTTACCTTCGTTTTGTATCATTACTTTTAGATATATTAATATTACGCTTATATATTACAGCAATGTGGGTGAGATTGAAATGGAAGAATCTTAGAGATACGTATTGCCGTATTTTAAAATACAAGAATAAAACAGAGGAGGGTGTTAGAAGGAAAAAATGGATCTTTGAGGATCATTTGAGTTTTTAAAATTTCCGTAAGTAATATATTTTTATTGCAATAAAAGATAATTAAGCTACATTTTCTTAATTGAGGCTATTTTGATAGATATGAATCAGATTATCAACCGCAATGTGTAGAACTGACTAAGGAATATATACAAGATATTAACTCGGGTGAAATAAGTAGTGAAGGTTTGCTAGAACAATTGGAGGATCGAAATGATGAGGACTACAGTGAATACTTAGAAGTTATAAACGATACAGCAGCTGATCCAGTTATGGTAGAATCTGAGACAGTAGAAACATTGGATAACAATGTGCAATTGATCACTCAGGATATAGTGGTTGAACAAGACACGACACAGCAAGATATTGACACTTATGTCCAACAGATACAGTCAAAGTATCGAAAAATACGTCCAAAACGAATGAAGGTTGATCAACCTCCATCTATCTCGAAAGCATCCAATGTTTATAATAAAAACTCTTCCTTCAAGACTAATAATGCAAATGCACTTGATACGGGTACAATATTTAATCCTATTTTCATAACCAATCAGCCGTTAACACCAAGTACACTTGCTTCGCCTACAAAAGGATCGAGCAACACGAAGGATAATGACGCCAATTTCGAACAAGTTTACTTAGCACCGGAGAGTAAGAGTGGTATAGAACTCTTTTTCGAAAGTATGGCACAGACAGTGAAGAAGTTGCCGCCAAAGGCGCAGGCGGATATCAAGATGAACATTTGCAAGATTGTTACAGAGACGGAAGTGCGGTATTCTAGCCAGAGCAAGCCACAAAGTACGCAACAATTTATAGCGCCACCCGGCATGATACCTAAGCTGGTGTTGGTACCTTGTAATATGATAGATAATCAAAATGTTAAAAATTGATACTTTAATTGTTAATTATAATTAGACTAATATTGCCAATCTGATTGATTGATAAAATAATGATTGTTTTAGTTGATAATTAGAAATTGTTTTATTTTTATTCTACTTTTTCTATATAAATAATATTATCAAACATATGTCAACTGTATGTATAGATATATATTAAACATTAATGTAATTATTTCTTTTAACATAAATTATTCGCGCGAAGAATAAAAAAACGTTATATGAAAAATAACACATTGTAAAAACAAATTATATATTATTATCTAAAAACTTTATATTAAAGAAAATTGTTTCTTGCAACATGGATTCTAGAAGTGAGAGTGAGAATATATATATTATAAATTAAACTTCGGCTCGTATGCAATTAAAATATGTGATACAATAAAAGGCCAACTTAACGAGCTTATAAGATATTAATTTAAAAAATTTTTTATTATTTTACGTCATAATATAATGTTACAAAAGATAAACGTTTCGACTGTACGACAGTCTTTTTCAATATCATTATCTATATGCTTTGTTAAGTTTGTTAGCCTTAAGTTGGCCTTTTAGCGTTAAGTTGGCCTTTTATTGTAACACATTTTGAGAGTGAGAAGTTTGAGTTAAATTCTTCTAAATTAAAAAATAATTTTTAACAAAAGCAAAAGTTACTTATGTGTATAATTATTATAAATAATTTATAATTTATAAAATATATTTCACATTAATTATAAATGTTATTTTTGTAGAGAAAATTTTATATTATTGTAATATTTTAAAACTGATGTATGAAGAAAGAGATAAGAATTTATCATGAGGAAATTATTGCAGTGAAATCTCTATCATAATATAGCTATCTGGATAAAGATAATTGCAATTACAGTACTATATAATATACGTTTATCAATTTTATCAGCAGAATCAATATTTTTTATTGATAAGTATTATTTATGTTCTGTCACATAAATTAACTAAATAACTCGAATTAAGCAATTTAATTATAAAAAAGTAAGAGATCTGTATTGTCAAAATTGATTTTTTTATGACATTATATTTTTAATTTATTTTATTAATTTTTATTTCTTTAAAAAGAAAAAAGTAACTTGTCAGTACATCAGCTGATCCCTCCATGTGTGTGTTATGTATCAGTATAAATTCAAAGTTGCACAGTTTGGTATGACTTTCATAATACGGTAATTATCTTGAAAGATGTTATAGATTACTGATAAACAGATTAAATATTTTTTTCTGTTTTTTATTCTTGTTATCTTTCAGCGTATGGCGGATAAATAGTGATAAATGTTCTCTGTAATTAGAAAAAACTAAGCAAGGAAATTTTTCATTTTTCAATTAGACTTGAAACGAAGTTGTGATCGACGAAAATGCTGCGACATTTGACATGTGGAAAAAGACACGCCGACCTTTTGAAACAGTGCTCGGCAATTCAATTCTTAAATTCTTCCAGAAAACAGGTGCGATATATATTAGTTAAGGTTAGGCTAAGATGATATTGAGTTCCAATTAGAATCAATCGAATTGAATGTAATAGCTCATTTTTTAAATTTAATTTAATTCAATTTATTTATTTGTTCAAATATTTTATATAATTTTATATATTTTCTGTATTATACTCTCTTTATATATATATATATATATATATATAATAAGTATGCATCTTTTTTGGAGATAGAAAATTCTTGGAATAGAATAGAATAAAGAAAACAATACATAAAACATGCAATAAAAAATAACAGAGACTTTTACTACAGTTTATCATAGTTGTGTATAAAATTTACAGAGCTCTGAGATCAAAGATAATGATGAAGATAGGAAAAAATACAGAGAATTTGTAGACACCACCAGTCGAGGAGAAAAAGTATTGAAAAGTTTCCAACGAGATTGGAAGACATTGAAAAAATGTCTGTCATCTGACCGAGAGTATTCGGATTTTGAAAATCTTTGGAAGGGACACGAAATAATTCCTGAACAAGTTGATGTACTCATTATTGGTGGCGGTGCAATAGGCAGCTCAATAGCATACTGGTTAAAAGAGACAATTCATAAAGAAGAGTTTCGTGTTGCTGTAATTGAAAAAGATCCCACAGTAAGATATTAATTTATATAAATTTTCTATAAGCTATATTTCTTTAATTGTTTTTTTATCGTTAAGAGTTTATAAATATATCTAATATATGATTGTTTTTCAGTATGCCAGAGCTTCCACGACTCTTTCAGTTGGTGGCTTGCGTCAACAATTTTCTCTTGAAGAAAATATTCAAATGTCTCTTTATGGTGCAGAGTTTCTACGAAATGTTAATGAACATTTGAGTGTTCCTGGAGAACCATTCATTGACTTAAATTTTCACCCTTATGGTTACTTAGTTTTGGCGACTGAAGCGGGTGCCGAAACTTTAGTAGAAAATTCTAAGCTGCAGAATTCTTTAGGAGCAAAAAATGCTGTTTATACTGCAGAGAAGTTAAAACGCATGTTTCCCTGGTTAAATACTGACGGGATTGCGGCGGGTTGTCTTGGACTGGAAAAGGAAGGATGGTTTGATCCATGGTCCTTATTATGTGCCTTGAAAAAGAAAGCTAGTCATTTAGGTGCTCAATATGTCAATGCTGAAGTTAAAGCTTTTCAGTTTAATACGATTTATGATGACAACGGAAATTCCTTTCAACGATTAAATGATGCAATTGTAAGACCATATTTATATATTTGCATACATTCACATTTTTATAATCTTTTTAAATAGTAATGAAAAAAATATTATTTAAATTTTATTTAATTTTTTTATATGATATGTTTTGATATATATTTTATAACATTTTATATAATATATAATTATAATATACAATTATATATTTTTATAATTGTACAAGTCAAGTAACGCTCAATTTTGTACGCGTTGTATCTACAAATTTTGATATAAAACTTATCAATTGTAAATCTAACAGTTTTTTTAATGTAGATAATATATTTTGTATCAGATAAAAACCAATGATGGTGAGATTAGAAAAATACGTTTTTGTATGGCTGTAATAGCTGCCGGTGCGTTTAGTGGCGATGTAGCTGAATTAGCTGATATCGGAAAAGGTGAAGAATTACTATCTATACCTTTACCAGTAGTTCCCAGGTAATTTTAATTACAATAAATAATTTCATTTTTTTGTTACTCTTTAATTTTTATGTATTACAATCAGTTTTTTCTTTTACAGGAAAAGATATGTATATTGTTTTCATTGTCCAGACGGACCTGGTTTAAATACACCTTTGACAATTGATCCTAGTGGCGCATATTTCAGGTATGAATCCAAGTACTTTGGAATTACAATATATACTTTTATATCGGAAGCAAAACAAATTTTTAATATAATTATTAAGAATAAATTCGTGAAAGAAAGAATAACATTAAGAAATAAATTTCAAATAATGTGTAGGCGAGATGGTCTCGGAGGTAATTATATCGGTGGAAAATCACCAGAACTCGACGAAGAGCCATCGGTAGATAATTTAGATGTCGATCATGAATTTTTCGATAATAAAATATGGCCTTTACTCGCTCACAGAGTACCATCATTTGAGAATTTGAAGGTATTTATTTTAACAAGTAAACATATGCATAAAACATACATAAAAACGATAAAGTTAATAAATGAAATTTAATAAATTATATGTAAGAAAAATATATTCATAGTTTCTACCTAAATACACAACTAATTTATATAAATATTAAATATATCATAAATACACCTCACAAATACAACTTCCTCTTTCAAGATAATATATATTTAAATTATATTTTTATCAGGTAAAATCTTCATGGGCTGGATATTACGAGTACAATACCTTTGATGAAAATGGTATCATCGGTTCACATCCTTATTATCAAAATTTATACTTAGCAACTGGTTTCAGTGGACATGGTATCCAGAAGGCACCTGCAGTAGGACGCGCGGTATCAGAATTGATCTTTCATAATTGTTTTACAACTATAGACTTGTCAAAATTAAGTTTTAACAGATTTTTAACATCAGAGCCAATGAGAGAAGCTAATGTCTTTTAAGTTTACAGGAAGAAAGTAATAATAGTCTCGTTTTCTTTTGTACTTAAATGTGTATCATATATATTTGTATATATATATATATATATATATATAAAAATTGTATATATATACAGTGACACTATGAAACCTAATAATAGATCTGTCTTATAAATAAAAAGATAAGTAATCTGCCTAAAGATTATGCAAATTTTTATTTACAATTGCAATAATACAGTGTTTTATTAATTATGGTAACATAACGTGCGCGTGCAATAATTCAATAATGTTCATTTATTTGAAAAGCGCGTGACTCGTATTTTCATGCAAGGATAAAACTTGTCCCATATATACAACAGCATCTTCTTCGTCTATAGTATGTAATATATTTTGCAGTTCGCTAAGAGATATACTGGTTTGTATCTGCAAAGAAATAGATATATAGAATTATATACATAGTTTAATCATTTATTTCGTATTTAAGAATGCATGTAAAAGAACACGGAATAATATGGATATATCATGGAACACTTGACAGAGAAAATAAGAATCTTACAGCAATGTAATTCAAAAGAAGTAATGTTGAACTAGACGAACTCTGTTCAAAGGTATTCAATAAATTTTCTAAATTTAAATGACGGGCTAATTTCTTCCATCCTTTTGTTTCATCTAAAATAGTCGCCAATTGTTTTTCCTGGACTGCATCCATCCAAACTTTTTGTGTATCATCGATATTTTCCTCTTTACACTTGATTATTTCTGACGCATTACTTTGATTGGAAACGAGCTGTAAGATCTGCAATAAAACAAATTGCTTTTACCATATGTATAACTTTATAACAATGATGATATGAATCTACTATTTTCTCATACATCTGGTTTGTTCGAAGCTAAATCAAAAGATGATTGCCCGACGAATTCTTTCATGTTTTCATCTTGTACTTCAGTTTTTATATTTTGTTCTTCAACCTATCATGAAAATAGTATTGTACATTAATTAACCGTTTACATATTTACATATTATATAGATCATTTCAGATAATTATTTAGACATACGTTATTTGCCTCGCGATTGAAATTTCTTATGTATGGATCAGCGCCGTATTTCAATAGAAAAGCACATATTTCTTTTGCTTTCGTCCCAGGCGTAACCACCGCAGTATGCAATGCCGTATTTCCACTGAAGTTTTTCTTGTTAACATCTATGTTGGTCTGCAAGAATCAATAATATAATACAACTATACTAATACAAAAAAGAGAACGCGTTTCCGATAAATATAAAATCTTACATTTTTTAACAGAAACTCTACTATATCTCTGTGACTTCCTTCGACTGCTATATGTAAAGCCGTTCTTCCATAAGACATATCAGTGTTATTTACATTTGCACCAGCTTCAACGAGAGAACGTACTGCATAGTATAATCCCGCCTCAGCAGCTAAATGCAAAGGTGTCCATCCTAAATCTGTATTTGCTTCAATGTTGATTTTTTTTTCTTTCAATAAAATACCAATACTTGCTTTCCCTTCAGGAACTAAAAATGTTTCTCCCATTAGAGATATATATTATCTATTACAGCTGTTATTTTTTATTTTCCATTTATAAATAAAAATGTTTTGTTAGATTTCTACTTATCTTAAATATTTGAATTAAAATATTTTTAAATTAATACATACGTTTAACAGCTCTGTGCAATGGCATTTGTCCATAATGATCTGTTATATTTGGATTTGCACCGAGCATGAGCAACGCTTTTGTAATTTCTGCATGTTCTTGTGTAACAGCATAATGCAAAGGAGTCTATGACATATGATACAAGTATTAAAAAATAACTAAATAATATTTGTGATTATTAAAATGAAATATATATTTGACATGGCATCAAAGAAGCTAACCTTGCCAGAACTATTTTGAATATTCACTAATTCTTTAGCATCTGTCTTTAGACTACTCATAAGCATTAAGATATGCTTTACAATATCTTTCTGTTCATATCGGAGTGCATGATGTAGCGGCGAATCACCATAAGTTGTTCTATTTTTGAACATATTTATTATAATATCCTTAGATTTATCTGGTTTTGTTCTGATACTTTTTATTGTATCAATAATAATATTTTTGGCAAACATTTCGTCATCCTGTAAAAACATAAAATTCATAATGATAATAATTGACACAACAATAAGACGGTAACTATAAATTTGTTTTGTAAATTGTGTAAATTAGAATTGAAGTTTACCTGTTTACTTGGTGCTCCGTCATAAGTTAATTTATTTTCTTCGCTTTGGATTAATAAACTTTCATATACTGCAAAATTTAAGTTATATTGATTAACACGATATATTTCTTAAAGATGTAACTTGAAACTAGTAAATCTTTTTATATGTACATTTCGACACTTACATTCTAAATTTATGTCTTCAACAAAATTCTTAAACTCACTGGAAGAGCATCTATCCTCTAACATCTTTTTTATCTCTTTAGACATTTCTGCACTTTCATTATTTGAAGGCATATTTATAAATGTATATGGTGTGTTAATTGACGGCGTAGAATCTGGATTGAACGCCATTTGTGTCAATTCCGAGCTACTCGAGTGACAAATTCGCGTTCTCTTCCTACCTAGAATTATAAAATCATAAAAAAATTTTACCAAAAAAAAAGAAAGACGAAAAGAATGGAAAGAAAATAAAATAGGAAGCTGGCAAAGTTATATCTCACAGTCTCAACTTACCTATCGCGCGATCGCTGGGTTTATATGTGAACTTGATTGGTTCTGAACAATCTGAATCTGAAGGACGTTCTAATTGTATAAGAACTTCTCTTGGAGATGTAATATATAGATCCTTATATGGTGGAGTTCTAGAAATATACAGCACAATTGAGCAAGCAATGAGAGAAAATAAATCATATTTCAAGTGCACACTGGACATACCGAAATGCCAAAGCATATTGATGATGAACATCTAGTTCAGAGAAACGACCATAATCAGTCCAAACTTCAATGTCATCGTCATTCAGTTCAAAAAATTTTATTTTTATATTCTCTATAATATAAAAAAATGTTTAATTTTTTAATATATACGACATGTTACTATAACAAGGCAACATAATAAAGATATATTATTAATTATGAACTTACTTTTTGAAACTTTCTCCACAAATATGAATACTTCTTCTCCACCTTCACAACTGCTGGTATATTTGTCAATTCTGCATATTTTAAGTTCTCCAGTTAATGCACTTTCTGTTAAAATATTAACATTAAAACTTATTAAACATTTTCATTATTTGCGATATATGATATAAAAATAATAATTTCAAAACTTTACTAAGAAAAATTTTTGTTTAAACATTTTTATTGTAAATTATTTAAACTTACTCAGATTATTAATTGGATTGCTATAAACCGGCAATGTGATCGGTTTCATGGTATTATGTTCACCTTTGATAAATCCTTGAAAACAAAGGGTAACTGTATTCAAATTCATACTCTTCTGATAATGTTCTGCGTTAGCTTTAATCTGTAATTGATAAAAAATTGTTCAAGAAGTATATTTAATTCAATTATTTTTAAGAAATAAAAATAAGTTTATTTAAATAAAACACTTTTCGAAATGATAAAATGTACCTCTGCCTCATCACGAAGACTAAGAGTAGCATTAATATTTGAAAGCTTGCGTTCCTCTAACAATTTTGCATATAATTTGTGTGCTATTTCTTCTTTAATATGTTTTCTTGCAGTATGTATTATTCCCATATGATTGAATCTAAAAAATAGAAACATCCATATAATATATTAATAAATAGATTAATAAATAGATCAATTGTGTTTGCAATGTTAGAGTAGAAAATATAACATACTCGGCTATGAAATCGTTTGCAGGTGTAACTTCTATATCATGTGGATCATCTATGTCTAGGCTACCTGTACGTTTTACTAATCTATGAGCATGTGGTATATGTTCATCATCAGTTGTAACCAATGTGCATCGTATTATCGCTTTATCTATAAAATTATGTAACTGAAAATAAAAAGAACAATAAATAAATAACATAAGAAAAATCTCAAATATTTCTACATAAATACATTGGTATTTTCTGTTTGCATGGATTTCAATATCAATAGATTTGTACTTACTTGGACTGTAGGTACATTATTTTTATTCCGCCTACGTCCGCTATTAAATGCACCCAACAAACTTCCATGTGTCCCCATCATTTCAGATTTATATCGAAATCTAAATTTGTCCATTGGTTGCACCACAATACTAATGTATGGTTCAAGTATGTGTACTAATAAGATAAAAAGAAAAGTTTAATATATTTTCTTTGAATACAGTATACTTGGTAAGCTAAATATCTTAAACAAGTTAATTCAGAATCAGAATATATACCTGTAGCATTTGCTAAGTTAATATAATCATCTGTGACATGCATGGATGATGAAGATGTTGACATGGGTGATGCAATGCTTGTATTTCCTTGAGATCCACCGCTAGTATATGGGCTTAGACCACCTATATTGGCTATCAATGTCTCATCTAAAAGTATAAAATATGACATTTTAATCAATATTCTATTATAACCCATAATTAATTCTTTGTCTATACATGCAGTATACATTACTATAAATACGTATTAAAAAATATATAACAAACTTATATGACAATGTTATTTCTAATAACACCTGTTGAGCGAACTGTAATATGATGATTTCTTATATTAAGATTTTTCTTAACCACTCATGACACAACCAACAATTATTAATTATACTTTTAAATTAGTCTATATATATATATGTTTATATATAACGAAAAATTCCGATAGCTTGAATTTATAATGTGAAATATCGTTTGAAATTTTCTCGAAATTTTCATTGAAATAAAATATTAAAAAGGCAAACAAAAAAAGTAAAGAATATGTGATAACCACTTTATATTGTAAAAAGACATCCATTAAAGAAACGAAGATACATTACACGTCAGATGATCAAACGTCAAGATGTGTCAAAATAAGTTAACAATGGCACAATCACTGTACATAAAAAAAAAAAATAAAAATAAACAATTACTCGTTGTATAACATGTGTTTCTGCGAACGAAACACGCGCGCTGTGTCAAACGTCAGTCACCGAGGCGCACGCTCGCATTACCGTTGACTGGAAAGTACGACGAATCTGCCTCATCGTCCAAGATACCACTGGTCGTCAACATACTCCGCATCGCCATGTTAAAATTCTCGTACGCATCTGGCATTTCGGCGATTATCTATATTTTCCTCGCGGATATTATAAGTGATCGAGAAACGTATTGAAATTATATTCGCTCAGGTATCACCGGAAGAGAACGATCAAGATCATAATTGCATATATGATCGCTCGTGGACAGGTAGAATTTGATGAGATTAGCCTCTCGCTCTTCTCTCGCGTTGTGAAGCGATGCACGACGCAAAAAACTCGTTACTCACCAAAAGCGCGTAATCAACTGCCTGTAATTTCTGAATACGTCAACCGAAGCTCAGCCTTGATGACTCTATCACGGGTTCTTCCCCGGGTATAAAGATGCGATAACCAATCAGCGAGAATCAGGATTTCCCTGACGTGTCTGCGTCGTAGCGATGCCCCGCCAAAACGCATATAGGAATTTCCCATAATTTTTTTCTTCAAACGACTCACCATACTTAACGTGTACTTTTCATAATTCCTTAATTATCACAAGTTTTTCTACAAATATAGAATATAATATATATACATATTTCTATTTTTCTATATTTTGAAATCGTGGAAAAAAACTATGAATACTAATAATGATGTCCAAAGTGCATATTAAATAGACCATAATATGGGTCTCACTGAGGTCCATAGTAGTTGTAATATTTTCTTTTCTTTGATGGATGTCTTTCTCTTCTCATTAGATATCAAGTGATTATCACATTTTTGCTTTTTACTTCCTGTTTCCAATATTTTATTTCAATGAAATTTTATATACGATATTTCACATTATAAATCCAAAACTATTTATCATCAGACAACAAAAAACGGATTACTCCAAGTGGAGGTAGATCTGGATAGTTGCTTTTGTATTGACGGCCCTGAACGTCTGTGTGTGTTCTTGTTTTTTTAAGCTATATATATATAAGACAAATATACCTATGGATTAAATCTGATTAACAAAAATTAACATTAATACAATTGATTAAATTTTGTAAATAAAATCGCATTGCAAAATTATTTATTTATAACCAATGCTCTTATAATTATTATAAAAATATAAAGATTTTGTTAAAGAGAAACAATATAAATAAAAGAAGAAAAGATAAATAAACTTTGAAAAAATCGTGACACAGCAAAAATGTTTAGTTATTGAAATTTTCTAAGTTTGTTATCAGAAAATTTTGGAGAACATATATAAAATGTCATGAATAAGCAATTATATGAAAATAAAATGTTAAGAATAAGTAATTTATGGTATTATGCACTTACAATATGCTATTATATATCTTCGATCCTCGTTAAAATTAGATGCACATGAATATAAATTTTCAAGTAATAGTCTTTTGCAAACTGTACTTGATATTACAGTCATAAAATATAGATCGTAAAAATAATTGTATGCCAATTTTCAATTTTGGATTTAAAGATGCTTCTTTATCCCAGAGAGAAAAGTAAAATCAATCTAAAATAAATTAATAAATTTACATTTAAATGAATTAATAAATTATAAGTAAAATGAATAAATAAATTTATTTATTATAAAATAGACGCGATTATCGACTTACTATTGAGATTTCAGTCGCTTGTTTTTGTGTGCTTTAGCAAGATAACAATGTTTCAAGATGTCGTTGGCGAATATTTGTGATAGCACTTTCAGTATAATCTGCTGTATTCTTATTATCATTACAATATGCAGGAGGGGATTGATAGTGTGAATGTATATATGTATCTACACCTTCGTCGACCCCATTCTTGAAACGTTCAATTTCACCAAGACCCATCTGATCAACACTCATTTGGTAGCAATGTCGACTAAAAACGAAAAGATTGGGATAATTGGCAGGTAAAATAATCGATTGTACTAATTAGCATAACTACTACACCAATTGAGCAAATAAGACCGTTTCTGTTTTTGATTATAATCATAACTATTGTGTAATCACTAATTAGTTTTCCAACTTTTAAATTGTGTTATATATTGCTGCTAAGCTTATGATCTTAAAATAATATGATACAGTTCTTAGAAACTTACATTAGTTTTCAAGAATAGAAAGCTGACTTACTCTTTAAATTGTCGTTTTAATTTACTTAATATGTTCATATAGTTTGTCTTTATATAATTATTTCAATATACATAATGACCAAAACAGTTGATGACACAGATCGTTATAATAAAGTATTTATGAAAAATGACGATTGAAAAATGATGATTGAAGATACAAAAACATATTACTTTAACGACCATTGTTTTTTTTAATCATTTATAATGTAAGTAACGAGTTATTAAACAAATAAAATAAATAGATGAATAAACATTAATAATTTAAAAAGATTTAAAAAATAAATTTTCTATTTTTTTTACTTTAGTTATATACTTATAATTATTCTTAGCACATTCGATAAAGATAGTAAATTATTATTTCACAGCATTAATTACCTATAACATTATTTTCTTAATCAATTATGACATCGTGTTATCGGTTTTTTTTCAAATCGTTAAATTACGGTCTTTTACGAGAAGAATGTTGACGTGATTTTCAAATAATTCCACTCTTTAGTAAAGCTATACTCGTTCAAAGATAAGATAATATGCACGATGAAAACAACAATTTTTACAATTGCATATGATAGAATGACGTAATTCTCTTGTGATTACATATTATGTTACGATTTTTATAATAGATTCATTTTTTCATAACAAAGATAAATATTAAGTAAAGTATCCCTACACAGCACAACACATCCTAAAGACTATCCAGAGGATATCCTGAGGATGTTCGGATGCCCCCGAACATCCCCGGGATTGACCAATAACATAAAGTGTAAAATATATAATTGAAACTGAATATTAAAATATCTTCGTGAAACTAATCAATTACCTTTATCTGAATATTTCAGTGGTTTAATCGGACGGAGTTGGGCGATGCTTTATGCCGGCGTAGGATATCAAGTTACTATTTACGACATTGTCCAAGATCAAGTTAAGAACGCGTTGGAAGATATCCATCAACAGTTGAAACGTCTTGAAACTGACGGTCTTCTTCGTGGTACATTGACGGCGAATCAACAATTTCAACTAATAAAAGGTCCAGTTTCTATCTGATCACGTTTCCTATCACAGTCATCGTTCTTGTCGCATGATTACAATGATTTCATAAAAGATTTAAAACAGTTCGCGTCATTGATGTAGTAGGATAGTTCGGAAAATTTAATCAATTTCTTTGTAGGCTCTTCCAATTTGGCGGAGACTGTGAAAGGTGCAAAATTGATCCAGGAATGTGTGCCAGAAAATCTTCCGTTAAAATTGAAACTTTACAATGATATCGACAAGGTTGTCGATGACAAAGTGATCATATCCTCTTCAACATCTACGTTTCGTCCATCTCTTTTCAGCGAGAAGCTGAAACATCGTGAGCAAATCATAGTTTCCCACCCTGTACGTATTTTCATACTATTTGTAGCAAATATATCGAGTCGCTTTAGTAAATCTCTATATTACATAAATTTAATCAATCAAATAATGTTTAAAAATATCATATTTAGTTATAAAATATAAGATTTATAAAAAAAGATTAAGTCACACATAAATTCCGATACAAATTACAAGCATTTATTTTTGCTAAACAAATAATTTAATTTTTTAAATATATTAGAAAAAATAAATTAATGTGGTTAAATAAGTCATAAAAGATGTCAGACAAAGAATTATGTATAAGTTGTTATTTATGTTGGAAGTCTAAGTTATTGTATTTTAGATGATTGTTATATAAAAAAATTGTAGGTAAATCCTCCTTATTATGTGCCTCTCGTGGAGGTAGTACCAGCCCCATGGACACGTCCTGACATTCCAGAGAAAACAAAAGCCATAATGATCGAAATTGGTCAAAAACCTGTTGTTTTTGGGAAGGAAATTGATGGTTTCGCACTCAATAGAATACAGTACGTATCGGATATTGTTGTTCACACAAAAACATATTTAGACAATGATTATCATTTAATATTTGATACCTAAAAAAATCATACCAACAGATATGCGATCTTAAACGAAGCTTGGAGATTGGTGGCTGATGGAGTGTTAAGTGCAAAGGATGTTGATGCAGTGATGAGCGAAGGTCTTGGAATGCGTTATGCTTTTCTCGGTGCTTTCGAGGCCGCGCATTTGAATGCCGAAGGTAAGGAAGTTAAACGTCCAGATGCAAAAAAAAGCTTTTTAAGTTCCTTGCATATACTATAAAAAGAAACGAATAAAATAATAACAACGATACTAAACGAATAAAATAGTTTTTCTTTCGCGCAATTCATGTTGTAAATAATATATTATTTTATAGGAATGAAAAAGTATTGTGAAACGTATAACAAATCAATCTATGATGTGAGCATGACCTTTGGACCAGTGCCCAAATTTGTTGGTGAAATGGCAGAAAAAATTAGCAATGAATTAAATGAGATGTGTCCGCTGGATAAATTACAAGAACGACGAGCGTGGCGCGATACTGCTTTGACAAAATTATCTATACTCAAGAAAGAGTTAAACAAGACCGAACAGTAAAAAGATACTTATTAAATAGCTTTCATACAATTGATGTTAAATATTTTTTTCTTTACGAAAAAAATATTTTTTGTTTTACATATATCAATTCTAGAATAAAATAATTTTTTACTAGAAGAAAAATATTATCTTTATAATAGAAATTGATTACGAATTATTCATGTGCAATTGTAATAAACTCTATTTGTCATTTTACACATACTTGTCTTGAAATTTAATCATTTACTAAATTTTATTCTATATTATATAAAAAAAAATTAAATAGAAAATTGAATTATTTTACTTTATTTAAATATAGTTACAGTTTAACGTTTTCCTCCGACGCGAGGTGCGGCTTTTTGCGTCACCTTGGCTACTTTTTGTTTAGCCACTTGTTTTGCTTTCGGAGGAGCAACAGCCTTCTTCGTCGCCTTTGCTGCTCTCTTCTGTTCCTTTGCAGCCCTGAAAAAATCAATATTATTATAATTACAAAATATTACATAATATGAATTGAACCTATCTTATATGAACCCGCAAAAACCAGACAATGTAATAAAAAATACAGTCCTGGGTGAAGCAGTCCACTTTTATTATTCTTAGACTAACTGAAATCTGATATAACACATAAAGCTTTATCAGAGGAACAGATGTCTGTTATGCAAATAATTCATCACCAAGTGAAATCTGTTAACATTTAATATTTTGTAATTTTTAAATAATTTTTATGGAACTGAGTTTTTTAATACTAATTAAATAGATACAATTAGGAAGATACATACTTAATTGCTTGTTCTCTCTGCGCTTTGCGAATTTCTGGTTTCATGTTACGTTTCGCCAAGATATCCGTAAGAGATGCACCTACAATAGCACGCTGGAACTTTTGAGCGCGTCTTGTCCTCTTCTTGGTTTGTTCCTCTTCCTGTCCCTTCTTGTGTTTACGTCTGAAAAAATAATATAAATAAATATTAAATAATAATAAATATTTAATTTAACAAGAGTGAAAAATTACGCTTGTAATGAAGCAAGAAATATTTATACCTGTATAAGACGGTCCACGTCACTTTCCTAGGATTACGTCTCATCAAATGTGCAGACTCGCATTTCGAGTTGAGAAAAGTGAAGGTCTGGAGAAAAAAAACCCCGAAGGTTATGTTTGACATGTGTACTGACATGTGGGACAAATTATATTTTCTTGCAAAAATGTGTCGCGATAATCAAACTTAGCTATAATTAATAAAACAATCTTATTATTGTTCCAGCTGTGTTCTCACCTTTCCGTCAACTTTGACCATGGTTTTGCCATGGCCCGGATATATTTTGTATCCGCTATACGCACAAAGACCGATCCTGTAAATATTGAAGGTACGTTAATTACAGACATTACGTTAACGCGATGCGCCACGTTTTCGTTGAGAGTACAACGAGATTACATCGAAAATATTGGATTACATATTTAACACATAAATAATCTTAACTTACTTCATCTTGATTTAACGCGAAAGAAAACACTCGACAAAAATGGCCGACGTCTTCCCGTCTCGCAACCATTAAAAGAATAGTAATATAGAGCGCGCTCTCGTTATCAAATTTTGACGAAATAGTTGAAGTATAGAGTGCATCCAAGCGGTTCATTTTCTAGGGATTTTATCGATTGACCAATCAGAACGAAGAAAGCATTGCCCCTGATTGGTCGACCGCACGAGTCGATGAAGTGTCAAGTGGAGAGTCTACTCTATGTCTATAAAATATTCTATGGCTCTTGTATCAGTTAAACGTTTGAAACTCCCCGAAGATGAGAGTGATATCGCAGAGGTATGTTGAATTGTATTTCTCTTTCCGTTTTTTTTTTTTTTTTTTTTTAATAATCAATACATCTTCAGTTTCATCTTTGAATCTCGTCTTCAATATATTCTGGTAAGAATAATCGTGTAATATATTATTTAAATGATGTGAGAAAAATAATAATTTTAATTCGAAAATGTATTATTGTCCGAGAGGTCGGGGATGGGGGGGGGGGGGCGGAAGGGGGTGAGAATGATATAATTATATATTTAGTATGCAAACTCAATAATAATGATTCATACTGCATTTATTAATTTGATTTTGTTGAAAAGATTTTGTATATTTTTTATATCTCTTTTTGTAATATATTATTTTTTACTTGTGAAACTGATATGATTTATATATAAGTTCTCTCTCTTTCTCTCATATCTCTCTCTCTCTCTCTCTCTCTCCTTCTTTTATCTCTCTTTTTGATTTAATGATTTATTAAAAAATGTAAAATAAGTTTAAATAAATATAGCAATAAAAGTAAATACTATATGTATATTGCACATTGCAAGTTGGATTAATAAAAGCCAATTTGAATTAGGTTTAAAAGGGACCTTCTCAAGAGCGAAACAGTCGAACGCTCATGTTTCATCCTGTGATAAAATGGCATCCGCGTCTTTCAAGGGCACCCGCAAGACGTACAGCTTCGAGGAGCGGAAAATTCTGATATCGTTAATAAATAAGCACGAGATCATCGAGAACAGGAAGTCGGATCCGATCTCCATATGTAAACGGAAGTCTGCGTGGTCGCAAATCGCCGAGGAGTATAACTGGATAGTCGGGACGCAGGGTGCGCGTTCCGCGATACAGCTCAGACGTTGCTGGGAGAACATGAAGACGTGCAAGCGCAATCGCGAGGAGAAGAAATCTCGGTAATTATAACTTTAAGTAAAACAAAGCAAATATTCGACAGAGCCAAATTAATTCAAATCTGAAATTACAAAGTTAAAATATAATAAAATTTAATGAAATTTTCTACTTTGGGATTTATTTATAGAAATATTTTTAATATTGACAATTAGAGAATATATTACGGAAAAGGGGTATATCGAATAAAATTTTGATTTGAGAGAAATCTTTTTTTTTTGCCAAAGATACACTTAGTATATTTATTATAATTATTAGAGTATTACATATTATAATATATAATTATAATATACATATATTTAATAACATATTATAATATATAATTATATTAATTATAATATCATCTGACAACTGTATTATGTTTAATAGCTCTTATAGCCCTTTTTGTTTATAATTATTAATTATAATATATATAATTTTACATTTCTATTATTTAACATTTTATTTTTCTGTAACATTCTATATTATAATAGATTATAAAACGCTATATAACACTCATAAATTTTTATAAAAAATTAATATAAAGTAAAAAAAGCAAAAAAAGAATGCTAATAAGTTTCTGATTTTTTAGTGATAGTACGAAAGCGGTTTATCAATCGATAAAAGATGAAAAACTGACAAAGAACCAATGCTGGGAGGGTGTAACTTGCGGCCAAAATACATCGGAAGCGCCAACATCCACTGGAACTGTGGGATTACCACCGAACGTAGTATTCGAGCCGAAAGATTCGGAGCCATTTACATTGCAAAGCGTTTGCACTGCCAGACCTCAAAATCTAAGTTGCTCATGGAAAGATAAGGATAATTGCAGAGACTTAGGTAAATAAAATGTAACTTTTTCTTGCATATATTAATATGTAAAATTATTTAATAACACATAAAAAGAAGATTTGCTTATTACATTTGATTTTACGTAGGTGGCGATACATTCAGACAAACTGTTGCCAATGAGAACAAATTTGACGCCGTTGCATCGCTCCACGATCCGATGGGTGATTATTATGACAAATTTGTGGAAAGAAACGCCGATTCGCCTGCAGTCGATCAATTAACGGAGGATGGCGTTGAAAAGAGTCACGCAAAAAGACTGACTACTTCGCAAACTTTAGTCTCACCCATCGTTATGCAGGAGCAGAATCGTAAGAGGAAATCGGCGCAACGAGAAGAAGAATTACATGTGCTTGCGCTCTCAGAGGCGCAATTAAAGGTCGATATTGCCGCTATGTTGAAGGAGGAGGCGAAAATCAAATTGGAGGAGGCTCATTATCGCAAGGAAGAAGCCAGACTTAGAATGCTGCTGTTTACTTACAAACTGGACAGAAAGGAAGAGGAAATTTAAAAAGATTGAAAAAAGGACCACTTTTGTTGGACGCAACATTTCGCAACATAGAATACGTAAGTTGATTATTTTTTCTTTATTTTTGTTATTAGCGATCCTGATGTTGGTACTCAGAAGCAAGAAGGATCGATAATGTAAGAATTAAACGTAGTTGTGTCTCTATATGTAATACGGATTTACTTCTTATAAATGCAATTAAAATATAATTATATATTATAATTAAAATATAATTATAATAAATACAAATTTTCTGATCATTTTGCTCGCTAGTAGTAAATAATAATTATTATAAGATATTATTTGATTTGTGATCATTGAAAAATCACGACTTTCCATGAAGATAGATAAAGAATTAGCAAAAATCCGAAAAGTAAAAAAGTTAAATATTATTTGATATTTATGTTTCAGTATATTATATTCAAGTTATTTTGAATAAAAAAGTACGCGTAGAGAATTCTATCATATTTTTCTTTTAAATATGAAAGAGATACAACTATGAAGGACAAAATACTGATTTTTCAAGATACTTTTTACATTCCATTCTTAATGAATTGATCGTTTTATTATATATTACCGCAGAATTAAATGTACTACTTCTTTTTGCGTGCGCGTCTTAAGATATTCTTAATTGTTTCAAACTTAAATGGCTATATTATGATGGGCTATTTTGCAGTCATTTTAGAATGCCATAAGTGATACACGATATTTTTGAAGCATTTTTAAGAAATATCTTTGTAAAGTAATATTTTTAACATCTTTGCAATTACTAGTGTTAATATTTTATATATGGATTCTATCTGATGAAACAATGAAATCAATCTAGACTATATTTGGAATTGGACTACATTTGAAGGATTATCGAGACAAATGCTTGATAATTGTCAGCAGTAAGAGAGATTGGCAGTGTATTATTGACTAGCGGCAGAATAGGTCATAATGAATAATCAATTATCGCGGATTCGTTAGTCGTTTTCGTATACGCTGTTAAAGTAAATAAATATAGAGCAAGAATCATTCGTCTCATATATACACTGAAAAAAAATTGTTAACTTGACTAAACCTTTCAACTAAATTATTATTTTATTAATTGAACATATAATAATATTTAAGTCAGATATACATTTTGTTAGATTTAATATGTTATATTTAATTTAAATGTTTTTATATGTTCCAATTATCCAAATAATATTTAATTGAAAAGTTTAGTCAAGTTAACAAATTTTTTTTGAGTGATATGTATGCAATTTTAAAATCGCTCTTCGCAAATACTTGTTCTACATAAGATGAAAGTTATCGTTGAGGCCTGATTTCGTGGTATTCGAGCAATGAGTGACCTCAAAGAGCGAGGGATCAGTGTAAATCGGTTCACTCGGATCAAAACCGCTACGTCGTCCAGTAGACAATCCCACAGCACCTTCCAGAGCGGTAGATGATGAAGCGAAACGTTGGCCGATAGCGTTGCTCATTGATCTCGAGATCGATCTAATTAAATTTAATTAAACGGTCGTTTATATTACAAAATTCTATACAATTCTCTATACACAAATACAATAGAAATATAATACAAATTAAAATTTTAGAATTATAGGTCAAAAATCTATAATAATAAAATAGTAAATATATTTATTATATTTTTAATATTTAAAAATGCTATAATCACTTACGAGGCCTGAAATGGTTTTTGAAGTCCTGCCCTCATGAAAGAAAAGTTGTTGACTCGGCTGCTGTACGGTTCATCGGAATGGCTGCTACGATTGCAGGTCTTGTCGAGTCTACGATTTTTCATGATCACGGAATAAACGTATTTTCTGAAATGACGAGTCACTTAAAATTTGCTTAATAGATAGAAAAGATAAAAATTCAAGAAGCTTTGTTTTTACAGTTTTATCATATAAATCATCCCTTTAAATAACAATATATGTTAATGCGAAACGAATTCTTAAAAGTAACATGTAATTATTTTTACCTGTAAACGAGCATAGATAAAAGAACGACGGAGGCCAAGAGAACGACGAGGATTCCCACTGCTGTAACTAATCCATAATATTCGTTTTGAGTTATACAAATATTTTCCGGGATTTTGGTTTGTCTTTCCACGACCATTTCATCTTCGATGTCCATTCGCGAATCGAGAACCTATATCGAAATATACGTTAGCGTTATTGATCGTAGAAGGGAAACGGTGTATCTCCTCTCATTTCTTCCGGAGTGCGAAATGAAAAATGATCTATCTGGATACCTCTATCATTTCTCTGACGTGCTCTTCCTCCTCCTCGTTTTCCCCAGTCTCGGGCTCGTCATCTGCGATGCCGGTTACGTTGAAGTTCGTCGTCGATGCGTTCTCGGCGTCGTCGTCCGTCACGATTATCGGCGACATTTCGTCTTCATCCGCTACCGTATCATTATTTACGTCCCTTCGCCGTCTACCGAAGGACGGTTCGCTTCTACCGGTGCCACCGGAACAATACGCCGGTTGGCAGCCGTCACGGCACGTTCGCACATTCGCCTCGAACACCAGGAAATTTGATTCGGGTATTTTGAAGGCGTTAAAGCGGGCCTCGAGGCTGTCGCCGTCACGAAGGCGATCCAATCCCGGAAACACGTAGTTGTCCACGGGACAGCTGCACAAATTTCCGTTGGAATTACGCGAAATTTCCTCGGGGATCATTTAATTTATTTAGTGCCATTTATGTAGTTATGAAACTCTGAATATTCGAATAAGCCAAAATAATGCACTGATTCCAGTGAAATGGATATCTACTATTATATGACAGTATTTTTTATATATTATAATGTTTTTTTATAATATATTATAATTTATTATAATTTTTATATTTCTTGTTCTTTGTGGGAAATATTTTATTTAGGAACTTTTTTAAGAGATTTGATCTTTCTTACCCGTATCTGTCTATCAGTTGAACGCTTCTACCAGAGTAGGGATCTCTTGCAATAACATTGGTAGCGAATATATCTGTTACGTAATTGTATCTATGAAAAAAAATAATTATTAAAACCCGAACATGATAATTATAACGTTTTGAGAAAATTTTAAATTATATATATATATAAAAATTAATTTCAAAATCGATGAATCAAACAACGCGGTACGAATGCGATGAGACATATCGCGATTTTCTATTACCTTTATTTTTCTTAAAATTTAATTTAACTTTGATGATATATAATTATTTGTTCTATCTCGATTTTCTTGCACATAATTATAACGAAATAAACAAAAATTACCCGTCCTGAGCTTCGAGTCTGAAAGTCAAAGGGTCACCAACAGCGATAGTAGTCGTAGGTCTACCCTGGTAGAGAATCATCAAACGTACTTTGGAACTCAGGGTATTTTCCGCTGGGAGATATTCGATGGGGATGGGAGACCCTGATCTACACAGCGCATGTACGAGTCCTCCATTAGTGAAATTAGGAGTTATTAAATAATATGTAGAAAAGTATGTGGAGAGAGAAAAAGTGAAACTTAGTTCAGTTTTATAAAAAACAAAAGTTTGTGTAATAATCAACAAATTATAATTATTTTGTTCAACAAACAACAGTTAGTGTAGAAGATTTGTACATAACATAATATAAAAGTAGGTAATATATTGTATATGTACAAAGAAAGTAGAACATGCATTAAGAGATATTTCGCACTATACGTGTGAGAAAGGAAATTACACGAACGTGCTTGCACCAATATTTTCAATATGCTTGCACCAAAGATGGAGCGTTTTACTCCACTCGCAATAATCCGCTTAAATATAGATTTATTTATATTAACATAAAAAATTAGTAAACAAGAAGAGTCTAGAATAATTTTGCACACGAAAAAAATTTGCTAGTATAGCTAATTTTAGCCCCTATATTGTAAATTAATTTTAGTTATTATACCTAAATTTTAATTATGATAGTTAATATTTTTTTAGCTATACTGAGAAAAAAGTTGTCAATTTGATTAATAAAATAATAATAAACGGTTGAACGATATTTAGTTAAGTTAACAACCTTTTTGTGTATAGAATTTTTCGTTTAAATTATAGCTACAAATATTAGTTATCATAGCTAAAATTTAGGCATGCTAATAAATTTCAGATTGTAATATAAGGACAGTTAAAATTTAACTACGATTAGCTAATTTAGCTAATTTTTTTCCGTGCTACTATGCCGTGACATTTGTTTAATGTTATAAAGACAAAGAAATCTTTGATTTGAAAAGTTATTTTGTCACAGAATAATCTTGCATAAAAAATACAATTTGGCAAAATTGTATGAGTGCGCGCGTAAAATGAAAAATATTAATCCTGTTCAAAAATATTTCTCGATATAAACTCATTGAGATTCAATGTACATCACCGGAAAATACGCTACGGCATTTTAACGCGTTAAAGATCTCGGTGCAAGACACGACCTCTCGATCGATATGACCTGGCATACCCGGCACCGATGTAGCCGGACGTGACGACAGCCTCGCCAGGTCCCCGAAACAGGCACGTCAGGTTGAATCGCTTATCTCGTCCGGTTTGCACATAGTCCGAAAATTGCACCACCACGATGTTTGTCATCGTATCGCCGTACTGCAAGCATTCGTGTCTCTCTTAAAGTGTTTATCGCGTTCATAATTACAACCAAAACATTAAAACAATTTCTTTTAAATGCCACCGAAAAATAAGTATACTTATTAGTTAAAAAATTTGAGAAAAAACTTTTGTTACAAGATATAAGATATAGGATATTTATAGTATACAGGGTATCCCAATCTTACCGTGCCATCCGTTTATGAGAGACTCCTAAGATTATTTGAAGACTATTTTTTCTCAACGAAAATGTCGAGAAAAGTCATAATTTTTTTTAATATTCCCAATTTTTGAAATCATGTATCTTTTTAACTAAGCCTTAAATTAAAATTCTATTAAAGTAAACTTTACCTGAAATTAACTAAAAAATCTAGTTTTGTTAATAATTTATTTTCATAAGGCTTAGTTTACAAAAAGCTTTTATTTTCAATCGTTTATAACTCGAAAATTATTGATGCCTGGACCTTTTCGCTGAGGAAAAGTCGTCTTCAAATCGCCTCAAGAGTCTCTCATAAACGTGTGGTACAGTAAGTCTGGGACACCCTGTGTATTCAAATGTCAATTAGAAGAGTCAACGATACCTGAAACTACATAAAGTAATTTCAGACATCGAGGAATTTGAAGTGAGAAGTTTGAAGTTCCTTCGAATGACGTGTACAGGGCAAAAGTTTTTAACCCAAATTAAATCGGAGATTACTTGTGGATCAAGTTGTTAAGCGGAAATTGCCACTCTTACTCTCTGCGTGCCGCACTCAGGGTATCCCTGTGGTCCGCTGATACGAAGCACGTTCACGGTCCCGCCGTTTCCGCGGAAGAAGCACCGATCATAGTATCCGTACGTGTAAATTCGCCCAATGAAACCCTCCGGCGTCCTCAGAGTAAACTCCATCCCATCCTCACTACAGACTTGACTCACTAGAACCGTAACAAAGTGCAATTCATTGACGCGAGAGTAGTTTCCGGAAAATCGTTCCAGGAGGAGAGCACAATGTTAATTAAACCGAAGTTAATTAAACCGAAATTGACATTAGTAAAGGAATATTAGAAGACAAAGGGAGAGGATGAAATCTGCGAACTCGTAAATACACAAGAGACATAAAATTTGATGAATTAGATCAATGTTAAATACGTAGTTAATTATTGTTTAGTGTTATTAAACAGTTATCAGATTATATCGGGAAGGATAGTCGTAAAAGTGCGTCACAACGAGTTTTAGCACTTGCACTGACATAAAGATACCGCAATTAGTTGCACACATGCGACGAGTTATTTATTGAAGGAAAAGAAGTAAATAAAAAAAACAGCATTAGATTTATTTCGTAAAAAGTGAAGTAATGTGCGATACATTAGTGCAATATATTGTATATTCATACAATAAGTAATTATTAATGTGCAATGTATTGTATATTCATACAATAAGTATAATTATTAATGTGCAATTTTATGATTAAAAAATAATTTATTTTATATGGAGTAAATCTCGTCGAAACCAGGATAAATCATTATTTTTTACTAAAAGTTCGATAAAAATTTTACGAAAGGATAAATCTAAATGTGACATTTTTTGATCTCTCGAGCACGAATATTCAGAAAAATTTGATCCTGATTTCGAGCGCGTTTTCCTTGTTTGCTTGTAATCAGCGCCTTATGGACGGACTTGGCGCTTACCGTCCAAACATTCCCCGTCCGCGCCTTGGCGACCGTTGTTCCTCTCGTAGAAGTCGTAATCAGAACCGGTGTCGTAATAAACTGGGTTACCCATGTCCATGTCCCTGGAATCCCTGTCGCTGAGCTCGCAATTGTCCCTCTCGGCTCCGTAAGGCGCGGCGTAGGGCCGGTAATTGAAGGATCTGCAAATGACGTCGGGAATTTGCGAGCATTGTTCAATCGATTGCGCAAACAAACGCTGCTGGATCATTCCTAATTCAATCTCAAGCTCCCTTGACATCGGGAGCATCTTTGTGAATTAACCATCGAAATTTTACGTCTCCCCGTTCTATCTTACATCACTTTTGTAAAATATCCTTTCTTTTACAGAATTGATTATTTTTGTGTAGGATCGATGGTTTTATCCCCGATTTTATATAAAAAAATCGTTCAAGTGACATATTCGAGAATTCAAGAACTCATTCGATGCATAAATATCAATATAAAATACCCTCTAATTTTCGCCTATTATTTCTACAAGTTTAATCACTATCATTACCTGCAAACGAAGTCTCTAGCATCGGCACATTCTCTCTCGCACTGAGCTAAAGACGAGGCAGTGGTATAACGTCTGACAAATGGCTTTCGCACTCTCGTATGAGGTCCGACTTGTCTAAAATTATCTTGCTCGTCGCATCTAGATATTAACGGAGGTCTGCCTATGATGGGCCCGCCGGCGGTACCAAACGGACGAGGGTTGTAGACACCACCTTCGCCTATGTACCCGCCACCCACGATTCCGCCATCGCTACCGCTCCCGTATCCTCCAACTGGTCGCACCGAACCGTAAGGACCACCGGGATAATGAGGTCGTGGCTCGTTACCATGGCTTTGAGGTCCGCGAACATCATCGACGAATCCGTGCGAATACATTCCGTGTCCTGACGGCGGATACCTGCTGTTTATCGATTCAAATTGTCAATCTTTTGTTGTTTTAAAATTATAAACTGAATTGTCTAAAAATAATAATTACAAAACATTAATATATATGTGAAATTTTAATATATATAATTATATATATAATTATATATAAAATGCGTTTATAATTTTTTAACTCACCGATTGGCATAAGGATCTTTGTCAGGATATCTGCCAGTGGCTGGATATCGATCGTTCGGAATTCGATCGCCGCCTACTGCTGTAGGATATCGATCTAATGGATCTTCTGAGAAAGGATATCGGTCAATCATATTCGGGTATCGATCGCTGACGTCGACAGGATATCGACTTGGAGTTGACGGATATCGAACACCATGTATTACAGGATATCGGCCAGTGGCAGGATATCTGTCTGTTCCGGACTCGGGCATAGGATATTTATCACTGCCGATAGGTTGACGATCTCCTCCTCTAATGGGATATCGATCGGAAATTGGATATCGATCTGAAATTGGATAACGATCTCCAACGGGATAACGATCAGACGAAGGATAACGATCTCCTGTAGGATAACGATCTCCTGTGGGATAACGATCTCCTGTAGGATAACGATCTCCTGCGGGATAACGATCTCCTGCGGGATAACGATCTCCTGCGGGATAACGATCTCCTGTAGGATAACGATCTCCTGCGGGATAACGATCTCCTGCGGGATAACGATCTCCTGCGGGATAACGATCTCCTGCGGGATAACGATCTCCTGTGGGATAACGATCTCCAGCGGAAGCTGGATATCTATCGGGATATCGATCACTGTAAGGATACCGGTCTGGATAATTGTCCGAATCGCCCGAAGGATACTGTCCTGGATACCTGTTATCTGGATACCTGTCATCTAAAGGACGACGATCGGGATAACGATCTGGATAGCGATCAGGATAACGATCTGGGTATCGATCTGGATAACGATCTGGAATACGATCTGGATAGCGATCGGGATAACGATCTGGTTTGGCGCTGCTGGAATATCCTTTATCATAATCATCCGGGTATCCTAAAAATAATATTTATGTAATATTTATAGTAATGAGAGATAGAAATAGAAACAATATTAATATCTATCGAAATCTTATATTATAACTATTTATATATAAATATTTTATACCTTTAAATAATAGAAACTTTTTATAATGAATAGATAAGTAATGAAAAATTATAAACATTGTTAAAAATACGGCTGTTTTATTTTATGTTAAGATTGAATTGTTATAGTAGAAAAATAAAACTTTAAATTGATTAATCACATTTGGCGCTAAATATACAGCTTGAGTTCTGTTTGAAATAGCTTCAATATTCGAGCAAATTTACATTGGTTTCACAAGATAATTCTGGCAGATGATGTTTACAATTACGTCTAACAGACATATTATGCTCGAGATTTCTCATCTCGTTAAAATAATTTACGTATTTCAGCAATTCTACAAATAATTGTGGAACTTTACAGAACATTGAGTTGACGCCTGACATGTTGAATTAATAAAATGGTTCTAACCCGGCCTTCCTAAAGAGGGTCGTCCAAAGTTTGTGTCCTGTCCCAGAGGATCCGGTCTGTATCCAGGACCATCGCGATCTCCATCTAGATATTGATCTGTTGCATAGTTATCATTATATTAAACATTGAAAGCACGACATAAAGTTTCACGACGAAACCAAGAAATTCACAAGAAATAGAGTGCGCGATTGTGCAGTGATATAGATCAATCTATCGACCGACGTAATCGTACGTCAAGGATGAATGACGCTAATCTCAAATTTTTTGCAGGTAAGTGCAAAAAGTCAAGTATATATAATTATTCTTTATTATTTTTACTTATATTAATGTATTCTTTTTATTATTAAAAAGTTTAAATTATGATGAAATTTAAACTGCGATGTCAAAAAAGATTATTACGAGAAATATAGAATATTCACAGAAACTCTGTTTATGCTTTGACGTTTCTCTGGCAATTGATGAACAGGTGGATCGATACTCACGCATGAGATTCTCGTAATAGTCGTAATCAGCATCGTAGATAATCCTGTGGCCGTCTCGCTGATTGAATCTGCTCAATCGACAGGTGTGATAATGCTCGGAGTAGACGGCGCTGCGGCATTGGAAGCTCGTTTGCCGGAGACACTCGTCAAGACACTCGCTGAGACTGCGTCCAGTGATCTCCGAATGGAACTCACCGCTCAGACGCGAGTTCCGATAACGTTGGAAGGCCGTGTCTGGACGTCGACCGTCGGCGAAGAGGTGCGACGTCGAGCTGCTGTCCGGGTATTCCGAACCGCGTGCTACGGACGGATCTACGTTTCGTAAGTGGGCATTGATAACGAATTGTGAATCACCAATGAACCATTATTATTTCATCTTATACCCTGTTTTATAGTACGAGGCATGTAGAAATCTTTCTAATTCGTTAACTTTGCATGATTAATTTGTGTATTATACAATTTTACTAGAATTACCCATACAGCACACAAATTTGCAGCAATATTGCAACAACATTGCAATATTGCAATGTTGTTGTTGCAATATTGCTATAACATTGCAATATTGCTGCAAACTTGTGTGCTGTATGGGTATGCATTTAATAAAATCTGTATTAAATTATTTATTTACACCAGAACCGAGTTAGTAAAATGTATAAAATTACAACAAATTTAGCGATTAGTAAGATTTAGCAAATTAAAATATTTTGTGGTGGTAAATTTAATAAGAGAAAATAAATAACTTAATAAAAGATTAATTTTTTTTTAAACATAAAAGTTATTTTTTGTATTTTATTAAATAATACTCTATTTAACATAATTATTCTAATTTTATTTGTTATATAACATTTACCGAAAATTATATAATGTAAATTGTCGCATGCAAAAACAGGAACAAATAAAACAAACTAATATTAAATAATAAATAATAAATTTAAAATTTTGCATATACTCACGATTATCTAAGCAGACGAGGTCGTAAAAGTGATGACTGGGGCTACTACTAATTCCAATATCATCCTTTTGCGAAACTGAATCTTCCTCAGATATAACACATTGACGAGTTTGCTCGTCGAACTCAACGCTGCGACAGAAATATTTCTCCGCCCTAAGACATAGTGCTTGACACTCGTCCAAAGTGAGGTTTGTGTAAATATCCACCTCAAATGGACCGCGTAAACGTTTATTTTCTTCTTTGACAAATACAGCGAGACCATCACATCGTCGCTCGGCTAATCAAAGTTAAAATTTTATTTGGATATACAATAAAATATTATTTGTAATATTGTTTAATTGTGTAATATTGACATATTAATTAAAATGCATTTAACGGTTTTTAATAATATTTATGTGTTCTGTTCTTATGTTATATTTTTAATCATTACAAGAAAATTTCTTACACACATGAAATTTTGAAAGAATTTATATATTATAAATATTTTCACACATAAAAATGTTGTTAACTTACCATTAAGACAAGTATTTTCAAGATAATCAGAATTTGGATCATCCTCGAGTAATTCGGGATGAGTTCTTCGTGTAAAACGACTGAGAGAACAGCTTCTCAAGGCAGTGTCGTACGTCGCTGATCGGCAGACAAAACTGAACTCATTAAGACATCTAAACAGAATATTAAATTGAACAGTCTCGTGAAACAATCATTAATTTTTAAAATCTCTACGTGTATTTATACCTATCTTCACAATCGGTTCTATTCGCAGCACTGACTTCTTTGATGTCCGTTAGAGGTAACTTCAGCTTCTTCCTCGGATGCCTCTCAAATACATAATGCCGGTTTGGACATTCCCTTTCTATTCTATCAGCTGAGAATCAAAACTTCAACTTTTAAAAAATAAGTAGAAATAATTCAAAATTATAAAAAATTTTTAAATATTAGATACGCAAATAAGAATGAGTTTAGACATTTTTCATGAAAAATTATTCACTTGCAAATTCTATTTTATATTTTAGAGTTTCTCGGAGACGAGCAAATCCGTAAAATTCATAAGTTTGTAAATTTCGTATTTCGGCTGGTATGTCAATTAATTAATGCGATATTTTCTTTTTTAATCGAAAACTTACACGCCAGGCACACTTCGGTAAAATGCACGCTGTTTGGTACGAGCATGAGATTTCCGATGCCCTCCGGCTGTGCTTGTTCCCTCGTTAAATAACAAGTACTCTCCTCGTACTCGGCCGCGCCGCTAAAGGACGCAATTCTACTGCCAGGTTGAAAGTCAAAGCTCGTACACGCGCGGACTAAGTTGTTCGTTGCCGTTCTATCGCGCAGACAGAGCTCTTGACACTTTTCCAGAACCCTAAACGGAGGCGCCGAGTCTCGCACCTGTCGTAAAAAGAATTTTTCAACGTCGAATACGCAGTAACTTTTTTTACGCGACAACATTGTAAGACATTGCAACGATGAAATTAAAATACGTGATCTTATTCAATTAAACTTTTACGCGATAAACTGCGCAGATAACATTATAATATTGCAGATAATTCGCGACAACATTGCAAGACATTGTAACGATGAAATTAAAATACGTAATCTTATTCGATTAAACTTTTACGCGATAAACTGCGCAGATAACATTATAATATTGCAGATAATTTTCTACTTATGAATATATTTGAAAATATTTATTGTACTTAAATAGCGCAATGGTTGAAAAGGGAATATGAATTTTCAAAATACGATCTTACTACATCGTCGTCGAAGCCCTGAAGTTGTTGATCCGGAAGTCTCTCATAGACGACTCTACCTAAACCACCATTGCAGGTTGTTTGCGCTGAAACTATAATAGTTTTCTCGTTAACGCTTGTTTGTTGGTCATCGAGCGACAGATCTCGTTTCTGATTTTACATACTTCGTATAAAAAAAGCGCGAATTATTATTTCCTTTCTACATAAAATTCAGGCTACTTCCTCTAGTCGGACAACGCGCGTGCTTCGATTTTTATCAACGCGATATTTTTTCACGCTATAAGTGGCACGGATAGCGACACAATGCCAACAATGTCGCAAGTACGTGACATCGTTCTACTTATTTTCCGCGACTTTGCTCGTTTGCTAAAATATTCAACTACATGTGAATTCCAAACAGTAATGCGCATTTTTACAATTCGAGTCTCATGCCGAATAAGGAGGCACTTTATAACATTTTATTTCGATTTTTAGCAATAGATGTTATCATTTCAGTCATTACTTCATGTATTTTAATAATATGTTTCAAGCACATCAAATATTTTTACATAATTCTAAATTTTTTTTATTAATCAAATATAAGAGAGATCTTTTCTTTTTTTTTTTTTTGAAAAATGAAACATATTGAAATCGATATGTAATGTATGTTTACAGCATCTCTATCCGATTTCAATTGGAAAAAAAGTGGCGGAAAATTTTCAAATTGTCGAAAACTTACCATTGATCAACAAATTCAATACAATGAACACCCAGATTGGCAGCATGCAAATTGATCGGTGAGTTCTCCACATTGTGATATTTAAATGTAACGATTACTATATCGTATACATGCCAATCGTTACTTAAATCTGAAATACACCATTAAATTTTGACATAAAATTGACATAAAAGAGAACAAAAATTCTTTACTTTAGAAGGATGTTATTATAATGTTAATTTTTGCTAATTTTAATTTCGTTTTTGTTCTAACATTTATTATTAAGTGCGAATTATTAAAATAATATTGAATTATATTTTGTATTTTCTGTGAAATTTCACAAAGAGTAGAAATTGAGAAACAGACGAGAATGTACTTCTCGCTTTGAAAATAAGGGAGAAATTTAATTTATGTCAGAAGAGAGAAATGTTCTTCTAAAAGATAGTTTTGTATTGAAATTTAAAAATTTAACAGATCTCAGAATTATTTACAGGATAGTCTCTCACAAGAATACTTTTCTATCTGTATTTTCCTTTTCGTATGAGATAAATGTTAAAGAGAAGATATCGATGTTTTACGTGCTAAGGAGAAAACATAAAAGTTCTGAAAAAACATACAATATACATGCAAATTTCTTTTTGCATATTTAATTAAAAGAAACCAATTATAGTTTAGGTTGCACTATAGAGTTCAAATCGAGATAAATGAATTGCATATAATTTAATATATGCAATTGTATATACATATAATTTTAGATTTTATTTTGCTTTTCCTATTAATATTTAAATTAAATGTATAAACAAATTAAATCATTTTTACGATAATTAAAAAAACGTAATCTTTCTCTAAAGATAAAGCAAATTTCTTTGTGAACATTAAAATAAATATTGGTTGAATATGGTTTTCTATTGTTATGTTAGAAAGCATAGAATGTATAAAAAAATTCATAGAATAATTCTCGCAACTGTTTCGAAATCGTTAAAATATTTTCTCGGAATTTCCCCAGAGGAAAGGTACAATAAACGCATGTCCAGTTTTTGTTCCTCGTATGAAAAAAATACGACACACGTGAAAAATGGAAATAAAGATAAAGTTACGCGCGAGAATAATTTATTCTGACCAGCGGACATTTCTATGTGTTCGAGATACGCGGGGACAGCGTGTACTATACGAAGTGTATGAGATTCCTGACGAGCGCTCACCCTGAACATTTCCACACATTGCTCGCACCCTCGTACACTCGTATATACGCGACTGCTAAAGGACCAGCGCACACGCCTGTAAGGTCAACGAAGCGTGGTTCCAACTTTCAGGCATTACATTATTAGCTAGTTGCCATTATCTGTCCGGTTATCGTGACTGATGTAAAAAAAGCGCGGGTTCAATCATCGGAAACGGAAGAATTGAACAGCGTTATCTTTACGCGCCCAATCATTTCACCATCAACGACGAGAAAGACGCAATATTGTGTAATAGCTTTTAACAAATAATTTTGCGTCTTTGAATCTTTTATTATTACAAAAAAATAGCGACATTTTTCGTCGCGGTACTTTTTCCTTTGTACCTATTTTATTAATTCTTTCAAATTAAATAATAATATTTAATGGAGGTTTGTTGAGGTGTGGCTATACGTGAATAATTAATGCCATGAGATAGAAATCAAAACTGCAAAAAATATTTAATTTAACTCGACTAAACGTGTGGAAGTTGTAGCATATAAATATACTATTTTATAGTAGACAATATAAGTTTCTATAAAAGATAATATACGTATGAACGTTAATTCGTCTAAATATTAATTTATTATAGGAACGATATATTTAATTCGACCCAAACTAGCCAAGAAATTTTTATTTAATTTCCACAATTGGTGGAAATAAAATAAAAATGTCTTGGCTAGTTTGGGTCGAATTAAATATATCGTTTCTATTTTAAATACCACTAGCGACGTTTTAAGTATTCAATTTGATTAAATATTAATTTATTGTTCTATCGGTCTATAATTTCCGCTTAAAAACCACGCAATCGAATGGTGGTTGTGCGATGCCATGATGGGATGTTTATAATATCGATAAACGTAAAGAGGATTTTATTAACGGGGTAATTTATGTTTGCTCGTTGATGAACGTGTATTTTCAGTTTCGTGATGAATGCCAATTATTGTATGACCGTGGCTTGTTCACCGATTGTGTCCTATCGTTGTCGACCTGCGCCACGACACTGCTTATTAATCGCGTTACGGTTTATCGCCCCGGTAATTGCGTCTGTCACCGACAACGCATATATAAAAGCTTATTCTCATGTTAATATCATCGGTCGCGAGGGAAAATTATGGCGCTCGTTCGTTATAATTCGCGAAATGTTACGCGTCGTGCGAAATTACATTTCTGTAATTGCCCTCACTGGATTTATTACACGCTGCTCGTCGTATGCAAATCGTTTGGGGAAATTATTCGGATTAAGAATAATTAAATGTGTCATTACATACGAGTGAATTACCCGCCAATAAAAATCGCGAGATTGTTAATACCACAAGGAAGGAGACGTTAACGATGAAATTAAATGTTAAATTATATAGAGAGTGATTCGCGTAATATAAATATAAATATAAATATTTATATATCACGTAATATAAATAATTTTAATGTTTAATATTTTTAATATTTTAATATTTTTTAATGTTTGATATTTTTCATGTAAATATCTTGCATAGATGTTTTTTAGAGATAATTTTCTCTTAGAATTTACCCTGAAAATCATGATAATCGTGGGATACAATATGGTATTGAAAAAATTTTATAAAAGAATTTCTCTGATTAATATTTACCACAATAAAAATATTAATATGTACATAGTAAAATTAATCGAATATATTTTATATTTTTATTGTGGTAAATATTAATCCAGAGAAACTCATAAAATTCTTCCATATTGTCCCACGATTACCATGATTTTCAGGGTAAATTCTAAGAGAAAATTCTCTCCGTGTACTATTATATATAAATCTCATCTAGTACGATAATAGAAATCTTTTAGGACAGAATTTATTAATCGCAGAAACTTACCTGCCGATAATTTAGAAATATTTTGTTTCCCAAATGAACAAGAATCAGTTTAAAAAAATGATTGATTTATTTTACAATTGCGACCTTTTAGAAGATTACTTTCTGTAGCAGCTTTTATTATGTATTTCCACCATCAAAGCTCTATTGTCGTGGTACTTTGAACTCTGTTGGCACGCGGATGGCATTGTTACGTGCGTACTCGTGTCGAACCGGGAATGAATTCGGTCATTGTTGTGTGACGTTGATGTTAATGGAACGTTCGCACGCAACGACAAATTATTATCTGGCAACGCTAATTCCGCTGAATTAAATTTGAGCGCGACGCGAAAACGTGGGACAAAATTGTACAAACGTTTGAGGCTTCGCGGGTGGTATTTTCGCGAGAATTACTAGTGGCATTGAAAATTATCATAAAACATGATTGCGTGACTACGTAAAAAATCGAGGAAAATCCTTAGCGCACTACATCATACGCGATTGCGTAAGAATTCTTCTGAGAATTATTATAATTATAGCACACAAACAAACGCGTACAGCGCATTAATTACCACGTAATGCATCATTAGAATAATTGATTAAGGTTACAAGCCGTAATCGCGCGCACACACAAGAAATTATTCTGTTGTTGCTTATATACGCAATTGTACGATGCTGTTTAAAAATGCTTTTTCATTACCGTGCATTAATGAGAATTAATCATCACGTGTTTGCTAGAAATTTAATTTTAAAATTTATTATGAAAATATATTTCAAAGTTTTACATTTTTTAAAACGAATATTTTATTAATTAATCAACTGTATCAATTAACTTTTATACATTATATTTTCAGAGAAGAAATAATAACAAAAGTTACAAACGGGAAAAATAAACTCTTATATGAGCACGTGATTCAATTTTTACAGTAATTTCTTAAAGAAAAAACTGCAAAAGTTAAAAATGAGCAATCACGATTGACATTCGCGTAATATAATTCTATATCTTTACAGAGATTCTCAATTACGTGGAGAAGCAAAGTTCATCAATCAAAGAAGGAAAAAATATATATCTCACCCGAGACGAATAGCTCTCCCCTGGACAGTTGTCCGTTTTTTTTTCCTGCAACCCTTTTTTCCACCCCGTGATTGTGGGCTCTGCTGGAAAGAAAGGGGATAGCGAAGAGAAATCGTCGCGAATGTGTTTCCTCGTCCTGTTCGCCGATCGCGCGAAAGAGAGGCGTGCGAGTGTACGCCGATATCACGCGTGCGGTGCGAGTGGCACCCGTAATCAAACTGACGGTCAAAATCGGCGGGAAGCGTGGAAATAATGGGCAGACACCTGTGCACACATATACCTGGGAAGAGCGGAGAGAGAACAGCGAAAGAGCAAATCGTCCCGATGAATGGCCTCCGCGTGTATAGACCGTAGGGGGCCCGTAGAGGAATAACGCTAGGAGGGGCCCCCACGTCCGATTTCTCGCTGGCCTTGCGCGCAACGGAAGTGGACCCATTGTGTGTCCGGTTTCCGTGGGGCCATCCGGGAAAACGCGTCGTGTGTCGCATGAGGGCCCCAACGATGAGCGTTGCAGATCGAACTCGGAGTCGACGTTCGCCTATCTCTCTTTCTCTCATCGTTAACGAGGCGGAATCATGGATTAGAGATTCCCAACCGAGGTCAACCAGGACGAGATCGCACCATCATCGTCGCCAGAAGGCAGCGAATCGCTCAACGATCGACTGGATAAAGCGATCAGGGAGAGGGAGGACGAGGGATGATCAAGCATCCTAAATATATCGAGGTCTGTAATCTTCTGTTCGTTTTATTACGCGCATATACAGATATATATATATAACGTTAGAAATTATTCTCTTTATTTAATAATTATTTTTTGTATTCGCTTAGATGTACTCTGATTTTAGTTATTGCGGAGAAAGAATCATATATATTTTTCATATCCAATTTCAAATCTAATAATTTCTAATTTTGGTAAGAGTTGTACTATTTCATATAAAATAAACTCTTAAACAATTTTATAGAAATAATAATCTTATCTTTTTTTATTCAAAATATAAAAGAGATATTTCACTTAAAGTTAAATATAAAATAAATATTTTAGAAATATCTATAATAAATATAAATTAAATCAATAAAATGGAATATGCAATTTTTTTTTGATTATCTAATAGTATCAACCCTTCATAAATTGTGATACTAATAACGATCTATATTCTTCTTTTCTCTTCCTCATTTTTTGGAACATTCTTTCTTGTGTCTCCAGAGAACACATTGTACTTAAGGAATATCTTTTTTATCTGGAGACAGCAAATAATGATGCTCCTTGCAGAGTCTGAAATATCGCAGAGGGAGGTTGAAAGATAAAGGATCGTAATCAATCTTAGAGTACTTGATAATATTGTTCTTGATATATTTTTATTTAGTAATAGCAACAAATTTATTTTGCGTGTAAATTTGAACGTAACTTACTTTCGAAGATACATACTGTTCATTAAACGTTAACCGATATGGAAAAAGAAAAAGAGAAAAGCTTTTATAACTTTATATACTAGAAAAAAATATAAAATTTGCAATTAATAAATAAATAATCATTGAGAGAAAGATGTGTTTAAATATATTATAAATGAATAAGATATTCTGATTGTGTTTTTATATTTAAGAAGAAAAATACATTTAGAAAGTTTATCTCATCTCTTTCATTAAAAAGTTGAAGAAGATGAAACATGATTTATTTTTTCAAAACATTAAATTATATTAAAGTTTTTTTTTCTTTTGCGTGAATATTTATTTTACAAATAACTACAAAGAACGCCATTTCCTATATTACATTTCTCACACAAATGTTTATATAATTATCACAAAAATAATTGTCAAAATAAAAGTTTCGTACAATAGAAAGAAGCGAAACAATGTTCTTTAATGATTTGTCTGCTATTGTTTTTATTTATTTTATGTATTTTTATATATTAATCTTATTTTTATTTCAGGAGTATAAACAATAGATACAAATATGTAATTAAAGAAATCTTTTTTATCTGTAGAACACAACTTTTAAACATCGTCATGTATTACGTACGCGTGACGTGATAATTAACGTGATGACAGATCATATGAGCGTTTGAAAATTGGCGCGCTTAACCACGTGGTTCGCCAAATGCGTGCACGCTCCGTAATCTGCGTACGTACATACGTGAGGAAATCTGTCAAGTGCTCGATATCGTCGACAATTTGCTAAAGTCAGCTGACGCCAAGATGCAATTGCCTGTTCGTAAACTGTAACGAGATCGTTCATAATTGTGTGAGGACTGTCGAGAAAAGTATTTCTTCTCTTCGCGAGGCGCAAATTGAGGTGAGAATTCGATAATCTCATCTCCTCTCCTCTCCTCTCCAGCAACTTCATATTGATTTGCGATATACTCTTGGTGATGCTTGACACTTAATGACAATCAATCGTTCATCGTTCGTCGAGGTTCGACGAAGGAAAATGTCGTAGAATTGATAATTTTCTACTTTTCGTATCGTAAGCGTTTTGAGGTTAGCTAAATACGACGATTACGTGAGGTTGATGAGTAGGATGAGTTTGACATATAAATCAAATATTTTTGTACTTACCATGCATATTGTTTTTTACATATGTTTTTTCATGTTTCAGTTGGGTGTGCCAGAAATTTGTATACACTTGAGTACTGTCTAGAGAGCAAAGAAGACCACGATGCCGCTCAGTACTGGTAAATATATAAACATATAGTGCATCTATTTTTTTTCTTAATCTCTTTATTATCTTTTATGCATCAAGCATTAAAAATTTTAATTGAATGTCATTTATAAGTTTGTATCAATTTTTCTTTTAAATTAATATTCTTCTACATTCTTTATTACAGATATATCTACAGCGCTTCACTTGCTGGAACAAGTGCAGGAACGTGTGGATGATGATCCTAAACTACAAATGCACACGTCTCAAGATTTGAAGTCATTGATTACGCTATTAGAAGATCCTGTATTTCGCAGTATAGTTACAATTCAAGATTCTTTGATCGAATTGAACACCCAATTGACACATCATCCATCTATCTTGCCTGGCGACTTCGACATCAATATTAGTGGACAATTGGAGCTGTCTGTTCCAAGTACTCCGGTGCAACCACTCGGACCAAACATGTATCAAGATCTGTATCAAGACACCAGCGAACAAGAAGATCAAAGAGTTCCTGTTGCTCCATTACTGCATAGCAGCAGTGAAGATACAAGTGCACAGGTGATTTTGCATTATTATTGTACTTTAAAGATCTGTTTATCATACTGTGTATTTGTTATATATTGACGAATCCGTTGCTTTGTTACAGGTTACTAGCCCCAGTCTTGTTTCAGAAGTTATAGGAATGCCACCTATAACCACTCCTACTTATGCAAAGGAGTTTAAAAAGGTCATAGAGGCTGCTGCAAGGGGACGACAAATATTTACAGTGCAGGTAAATTTCTATAAATTTTTCACAGATTAATAAAATATATTTGTTGAAAAAACACCTTTATAAAATTTTTAATAATGTTTCTATAAAATCTTTATACCGAGAAAAATATGATGACAAAATTATAATTAATGTAATAAATTTTGTTTCGTTAGTTGTACAAACCAGAAGGAACCAGTTTGGGATTCAGCGTAGTCGGACTTCGCAGCAAGGATAAAGGAGAACTTGGTATATTTCTACAGGAGATACAACCGAAGGGCATCGCGGGTTGGTGAGTCGAATATTTCATTTTTATTAACATTGTCGCTGCATGCTTTTAAAATAGAATGACTTGGATATATTTTTAATACGCCGATTAATAAAATTTCGAAATATCGGCGTTACTTTGGCAATAGCAGTTGACATTTATTTTGCGTTTGCCAAGAGAGACTGGACTGGGTTTAAAATTTAGTAGACATTTGCATTCTGTAGTCGCCTTAGGGATTTGAATATAAAAGTTTTGAAGTAGTGTTACATGTACCTAGATAGCAAGTTTGAACGCGATCAGATAAGTTTCGCCAAAGGTCGAAAAGCATTTGATAGTCGTCTGAAAAAAGATCGTATCCACGATGAGGTATACGAGGCGGGAAATAGCGGATGAGCCGTGAGCGCGCGATATATCAGGTGATTCAATAACTTCGCTTTTACCGCAGTGCGGTCGAATCGACATTTTATAGCCGAACTAATCGCAAAATCTTTAATTTAAGAGTACTTTCTATTGTTGCGTAAAAAAAACGACATTTCAACCGAGCTTCCGCTATACATCTACGTGACTCGACCTCGCCGAAAAATCGATTGCGGAAATAACATGAATTTTCATAATATTTATTCCAAATAATCTCTTTATAAAAGATCGACTTCCTCAAGTTTGCGAATCTCTGAGAGAATTTCCCGTCGATGCGGAGGATTCGCTGCGAAACACGATCCCCTTTTGACTCGACCAGAGTGAAACGCGAATCTCCAACGCTCTCTAAGCGTTTGCAGAGAGAATCAAAGGTTCCCGCAGGCAGCCTAATCATCATCGTCATCGCGGACAGCAATATTTGGAGCGAGGGAACGCGCGCGTTGAAAAGTAGGCGAGGAGCTTGAGCTATCGTTTTCGGATCACGCGTTTCTGATTCTCGCAGGCACACCCTGCGGTACAACCCCGTCGGTGCCGATCCGTCACGGCACGCATGCCCGTTACCTTCCTATCCGGAAGCTTCGCCGCCACCGTCGGAGAAAACGCCGCCTTTGAAAAAGAGGCCTCCCACCCTCGCGATAGACCAGTCTTCGACGAACCTTCGTCGGCCGAAGGTCGCGAGACGGATCTGTACGCGCTCTTATCACGCGGCGGACACGCACCTTGTGCGCGCGCGCGCGCGTACGCACGCATGCATCCATACATACATACAAATATATGTATACACACATACGCATGCAAATTAATAAATCCGCCCGTCTACCTGTCATACCTCTATATTACGCCGAGCGGTGTGCGTTGCCGCGCGCGAGTGTCCGTCTGTGTGTGTGTGCGCGTTCTACCCCTTTTTCCGACCGCGTCAACCGCGAATTTTTCGCGCGTTCGATTTTCGCAGTGCGTTCCCCCCGAGTGCACTCCCATCGATGCACCCGGTGCGCATCCGCCGTCGCCGTCGTCGTCATCGTTCGGCAGCCTCGTCTATTAAACGCTGACGTGGGGGGAGGAGGTGGTGCCACCCCCGATTAATCTCCGCGGGAAGGGTGGAGAAGGAGTACGCGTGTCCGGATCACGTTTCTACGACGGCATGCGAGCCCTACCGCGTACGGAGCGCCGCACTTTCACGCGATGCGCTCGTTAATCTCTCGCGGCCGCGGTAGCTGTTGCCACTCTCTGCGAAACTCTCGTAAAAGGGCGATTCTCCAGCGGGAAGCTTGTTACGCGGGAGGTGAGTGAACACAATGAGAGCCCGGCGACGTCATCCTCCGTGGAAAAAAGCTCACGTGGTGCGTATGCCCAGTTTCCGTGAGGGAAGCGCATCTCGTGGCTTCCCAACTACCCTTTTTCTACTACCCGGGGCTGTTCGTGGGAGGATTAAACTTGATTTTAGATTTTTCTCGCGCGTTAGAAACACGAGGGAGGTAGATCTCGAATTATTTCGACGATAAAAATACGCAGTAGATCCGCAATGACGAAGTACTTGTCGGTAGACCATATCTTGTTCAGAAATATAATATATATATATATATATTTCTGACACATGCAGATTTCCCAAGTTATGTAAGGTTGCTGAATGATCGAGGGAAAGGAAGTTGCGCCGGGGTCGATTGACGAAATTGCTCCGCTCTCACGATCTTGAATCGTAGATGAATCGTGTTTACATCCGTAAGGGAGGAGGGTGGGAGGGAGAGAAGGGAGAGAGAGTACGTGAAACGACTCTCGTTCAGCTTTCTCCACGCTTCGCGTCGTTTTCACCCTCTTCCCTTTGCGGGTCAGCTGGTAGCTACGTTGACGCTAGCGAAACGCTAGCGAGAAATTGCGTTTTTATCGACTCGCTTTACTCTAACGCGCGCACAGTTGCAGCCTGTACACGCCTTCGTAGGCGAAACTGGGTTAGATCGTCGACAGCAGCAGCAGAGAGAGAGAGAGAGAGAGGGAGGGAGAGAGAGAGAATGAGAGAGACAGAGTAGTAGTACTAGGCCTTCACATCGATCCTGGATTTGAATTCAACGTGAAATTATTCTAGCCCCCGACGCGCGGATTATTCATGCCCTGGGACTTTAGTTCGCGGTGACGTCGCGGTCGTGGATCGAGCGGACGCGATATAACGTCGACGAAAATTAATCGAGAGTCGACCTTTCTCGCGATCTCGGGCATCATCCCCACGAAAATTTCGCGCACATGCGTGCGGTGAAATTTATGGCTGTCAACATCGTCGGAAGTACACGTGATCGCGCCGTTCATAAATTAATTCCAGTCTAATGATAATACACTTTCCCACGTCGCACACACACATTCATAGGTAATGACAAACTGTAATAATCACGGAGAAGATTAATTTGCTTTCAGCCTGATAGTTCTGATATCTCTTCAAACTGAGAGTGAGGTTCTAAATATTTTAATAATCGTATATTACATATATAATATATTCATGCCTGTCTTGTTAATATTTTTATTCGCACATTGATTTTGTGTTAATATTATAATATTCTATTTTTATTAAAATATTTTATTAATTCGGTAATATATTCTATTGGAATTTCTAAATTGTCTGAATTTATTCATTGCGTGATTACTTTTAATTTAAATTATGCATTTTTTTTAATGGATTTTTTAAATTATTTGGTAATGAATCTATTATTCTAGAATCTAAATAAATCTTTAGTTATTTTTTTTAAGCTGTGCAACGGATATAGCGATTGTGAAGGTATGAATTACAGGGCGTAAGTAATTTGTTGTCGAATCGATGGTTGGCCTACATAAAGCAAGCGTTTTACCACTTTTGACGTCGCGCTAAATAATATTATATAGAAGAAAAAAATCTACAAAAATTTACAAACTCAATTAATAGCCGGGTAATATGAAAGCTTCGTTCGCTGATAGATTAATGTTAAAGAAATTTCGTTTAAAACAACCTCACTATTTTCTTTCCTCGAATTTTATATTCTATGCAGTTTAAAACAACCTCACTATTTTCTTTCCTCGAATTTTATATTTTATGCTAATGAATTTGGATTAATTGACATTTATATACGCCGCATATAACAATTTATATATAAAATGTATACGCATTCATTTGCGTGCATGTTTATTCGCGGTATTTCAAAGTTCTTTTTAAACGTGAAATTTATCATGCAGAATTTTTACGCGGTCAACGATCATACGGCTAAAATTCGAAGCTCGTCGGTTATACTATCGACGCACGTCCGATGAAATGTGCAGTATTATACCTCACAGCTCTCGAAAAAGCTCGGCGCGGTTAATGCATCGCGGCGCTATGTACACGTTAACGAATTTACCGCGTGCGAGAGAAGTCAAGAGTGAATTATTAGCCGGTTATACAGCGCTCGTTTTTCTCAATACAACAATGTATAAATATTTCAAGTATATTCACTAGAGTTTCGTAAAAGCAGTGATATTAAACGCGCGGTTTTATCGTGCGTCAGGATTTGTTTATATAGAAGGAACTTGATTTCTGCGATGAATATTAGTCAACATACAAGATTCTATTCATCTTTAAACATTCCTTTAACCATTTACATGTGTATATATAATATGTATATAATTATATTATATAATATTATATATGCAAGGAACTTGCTGAGAACAAAATGTTCTCAATTTCGCTATTAGGATATATCTATTTCTGTATCTATTATAATTGTGCACCGAACGTGCGTAGGATTGCGAGTAACATGCACACATTAATACGGGATAAATTGTCTAAAACAGAAGATAATTATACACGCGAGAGATTATGCGAGATAATGCGAGAGCTCTCTCTCTCTCTCTCTCTCTCTCTGCGATTTGTTTTCCATGCTTTTTACCATTTTCACGCGAAGAACACTTTAACGAAAACCTGTTGAAAGTTTCGCCAAAAATGTCCGAGGAAATATACCTATTAAAATATTAAAAAGAAGAAAATTTGAAATGATCAGAATGAAATCACGAGTTAACTGACTCGCTTTTGAGGACTCCTCTCGCTTTTCATTTGACTCTCATTTGCATATCAAAAGACGAAGTGAGAATTGTTCCGGGCTGGAGTTTTCGAGGCTTTGCAAAGCTTTCGTTTTTCTAACACTTCTATTGTTCGCGTAAAATGTATCTGGAACGCATGGTGCTCTCGAATCCAGACAATTAGATCGTCGGCTGGAACGTCGGTTGTTTTATTACGGCGCGATTGTTTCATCCTAAAACAAATGTTTCGCAAGAGGGTCAATATCGTTAACCAAGCGACCGTGCGTTATATAGTTGCAACAATGGAGATTAGTATCCCCGATAGTTTGCACTTTGCAATCGACCCGGTTGTCGCCGTCGTCGTCACGTTTTGTGCTTTGTTCGTTCGATAAAGACGAGACAAATTTCATCACCGAATCAGACAATGTTCGCGCGAGAATAAAACTGTATTGTATTCAAGATTGATTTCAAGATTTCATCGAGCGAAATAATGCATTCTACAATTAGTTATTACTTTACAATTAGTTATCGCTTTAATTACTTAATGATCGCGAATATTTCATATCTCGAGCAAGGGAGGGATGCTTTTCATCAGA